ATCACTTCGAATGAGAATAACAGCAAAATAAAATAAATCACAAATACCGAATGTGATTATAGTTTAAAAAACTTCATTAAACATGGGCTTATAAAACAAAGAAAGGGTTTTTCCTGTTCAATACTTCGTACACGGGGACCATCTGCATATGGTTAACCAAAATGTGAATCGGTTGATTTCAGGGACCCAATCGCACCTTTTCGGCCCTTTCCGTCAGTCTTCGGCACAATAGTTTGAAAACATATAGTAGTTTAATTCTGGGAGTTGTTGACATGGATTTCACCAATATATCAAGGAAAAGTCCACAAAATTAGCAAATTCAACGATATAAAAGTAAACAGTACACTTATTATTATGGTTGTAAAAAAACCGAAAGTACAAAATGCCAACCTGTTGACATTAAGTCGGATTTGTTTATAATTGTACATCAATGGGCATATTTAAAATAAAAATGGTTGTCAGACAGATTTTCAATCATAATTGTACCGAGATATACTAGATCTATATTTTCCTTTAGATGTCAAATATATGCATTCCTTTTATATTATTGAAGATAATACTCTCTGTTTCCGTTTACATCTGAAACCACGTGGTAGAACTACTTTCACTCAGTATTGAAAACCGACTTGGTGTTTCCCGCAGTAGTAGATCTATTTCATTTGATCTCCTGCTAAAATAGTTCTGCTAAGGATCTGAAGTAGCAAAATCCCACTCCAGTTGTTAACAGTCCGTGAAATCCTCTCTTTTTGGCAGCTAAACAAATAAGGCTTACATTCTATCTTTCAGGAGCTGTAGAATATTGGTGAGTACTTTTGCAGCGGCAGGTTCCTCCAATATCAGCAGCTTCGTTGTCCCTTCCTTGTTGATCTTTATAACACTTGGTGTTTTTCCATTTTCTGATGGTCATTTTGTCTTGGTTGAGGCGGCCTCAAAGTGCTCTTTCTAAGGTTTGAGCGTTTCATCTTCGTTGATGATTTCCCCTTCTTGGGTTTTGACTATGTTAGCGGATATGAAGTCTTTGTGCCCGTATCTTTTCTCGCTGCTGTGGTTTAAACCATAGCTGTCAGGTCTTCAATTAATTGTTTCTTATCCTTTTTGTCATGCTTCTTTACTTCTTTGTCCTGTATACGCGTCATTATTTCATTTTTTATTTTTTGCTACAGTCGCTCTGACTTTGCTTAGTTTACAAGTTGTTTTTTTTATAATTTTCTTCCTCTCATTTATTTTTTCCATGTGTCTCTTAACATCAAATCCTTTTCTCCCTACGTAGAACCTTTTCTCTAACATAACGCAAAGTAAAAACTATTAATAACAAGAGGTCCATGGTAGCCCTTAATCGCTCACCGTAAGATATGCTGTCATTCCTATTCAGTTTCATTATAATCATCTAAGAAATTGAGGAGTTGTCTTTAAATCTTTCTTCATTTAGCAGACAGACAGCCATCTTGTTCAACAGACTGTAATGCTAGGATAATTGAATTTAATCAGATATGTACATACAGGGGATGTCACTCCAACCATATTTTTGTTAGATCTGGCTGCAATCTTGATCATTATAGCAGACTTGAGTTTAGAACTATTTGAAGAAGACTACCAAGCGATTATTTTTATGAACTTTGTAAATTTTGATCAAATTCTGGGACAATTGTTTTCAAGTTTGAATGGTTGTTCTACGGTGGCATAAAGGGGCCATCAGAAATATTTCATCTACAAAGTGCGATAGCTTTTACGTGCGCACGCGATAGCTACGATAGCTACCACGTGCACATAGTAGCTATCGCGTGCGCACGTAGCAGCTATCACGTGCGCACGTGATAGATAAAATATTTCTGATGTACCGTATCCTATAGAGATTTTATTTTCAGTTCTTGACGTCATTTTTTTTATTACATTGTATACTGAACTAAATTTACTTAATAACCACGTACTGACCATTGCTAAAATATTAAGCAAAGTTGATATTTAAGTACTTTTTTCTCATTTTTTTTAAACATTCAGCCCTACTTTTAAATAATGTACGTGTATTAATATTTCATTTGATATGAGAATCGGAAATGTTTTGTTTGTTGCCCTGCTGGGTGCCTTGTCGATGGCCCTATGTGACTAAGTGTTCTTGGAGGCGGGTTTTGGAAAATGCCGCTCTCCCTATAGATTTGAATAAATCCACACGATGGACCGGCTGCAGACGCTTGGTGGACATGTTATAGGTTCATGTACATTAATTATAATAATGATAATGTATTTAACTAAAAAAGGATATCCATTACAAAATATATAAAGAATATAAAGATAGAGAGAAGTTATCGAGAATATTAATATACAAATAAAACTTTTATATACGCAACCAAATCTTCGCTCATTGGTCAATCCCTGCTAGCATTTGATTAGTTAACAATATAAAATCGTAAAATCGTAAAATGTTGCGATTATGAAAATTATATTTCTCTCATCGAACGATCAAACGCAGTCAATATCAATAGTTTAAATCGACTAATTCCTCAAAACTTTGACATAGTTTACAATACACCATTCAAAAATATTAGATCGCTTTTGTTATAATGCTCATTTAATTTTCTAACAATTAGCATATCCCCTTTGTTAATCTTTACCATCATTTTCTGCCCACTTGTAATACTTGTGTTATAAGATTAATGATAAAATACAAACCATTTAATAACGTAAATATTTAGATATTATATTGCCGGTTTGTGACGCAAAACAGTCAAATATTACTTTTTCCTCATTTATTTGGTATTATATGAAAATTAATTTTATGAAGCATCAAATTCATTGTACTGATTTATTTACTAAAATTCCCTTATCATGTCATTACCAAAATTTAAATCAATACTTTAAAATACCAGAAAAAAACACTGAATAAAAGGGAATTAATGATCGTAACATTTCTTTCTTACTCATCATTCATGTATCAGTAACATCAAATTCTTAGATTTAAATACTTTTAGACGCTGTAAATCGTTATCTATTTGGTATTTTGGTATATGTATAGATCAGTATTATCATTTTTACCCCCATTGTTATCTATTCAAAAGTGATACAAATGTACCTTTATTCTGTAAAGCAAACAACATTTAATATCTAAAATGTGACCAAAATCATAATTCATTCTTCAAATTAGACATATTTATAACGTTTATATATACTCGTATTTGCTATCACGTTGTCAGTACTAAATATTAAATCTCATCGAACGCAATGATTATAAGTATAGTAATTCAGTACATTTATGATCATTTTAACCACTTCAGATCTATTAAAAAAGGATATCTTTATTCTGTATAACAAATAACATTTAATATATACATGTATTCAAATTTGATCAAAAATTCATGCATATTTATTCTTCAAATAATTATAACGCTTATATTTTATTCAAAGTTGACAAAATGATTACGGGCTTTTATATAAATTATCCAGAACAAAAATTCGTTTTTTCCCTCCAAACGCAATCATTATCTATACTTTTAATCAACACAAATCAACATTCTTAATAATCCCCTTTGTGACCTGCGCCGGCATTCAACTCCTTATCATATCTGATGTCAAAGGTCACGTGGGATGGCCACCCAGCCCAGCCCCCAGGCAAGAGATTAACAACCCGATGACAACATTAAACATTTTGGCAAGAAAATGTTGCACAGTTGGAATATATTCCATCCCAGCTCGTAAACGTATATTTGGGCCTAGCTAGAGGCTGCATCCCTGAAAGCCGGGCATGAAACCGCCACATTTGATTTCGCCCACTTTTGAACATACTTATATATGACATATATTTTGCTGATAGACACCATATTTCATGGGTAAAACTGAATCATGATTTTTAAATTATTCACAGCATATTTTTAGAATACTCAAATATCTATAACTACATTATACCTGGGACATAAGATTATACTGGCTTCAAAATCGTTTACGATTACACTAAGCAGGTGCGTTGTCTGTGAATAGCTGTAAAAAACAAATGTGTTAAGTGCAAATTTATAGATATAAGAAAAAAAGCAAGGGAAAAGAAAACTACGAGACTGTGATAAAAAGATAAAGGCAAAACTGACTTAAAACTGGTAGAAAGGATGCAGCTGCCCAGTAAAGAGATCTAAAATGGGACTAGCTTGTAAGGATGGATAGACCATTCCACAGACGATACTTCTGTTCCTTGAGTATGGTATTAGGTAGTTCAGGTTTCTAGTGGGTGTCAGATGGTGATGGGCGATCCTCACAAGATTGTGTTGGATTTTGTATTGGTTTCCTAGCAGTGTCCGGCCCCAAATCGCACTTTTTAACAACTATATTCAAAAGAGTTCAAAACTTTGACAGAACAAAGTTAGGTACCTGTCCAGCTTAACCATATTTTCAATGTTGCCCTTTTACCTTATTTTTTAATTAGAGTATAGGCCTGAATGTAACACCTTATCTCACTTTTATTCAAAATTTCATAGCAGTTTATCTGACCTTTTTCATTTTTAATATAATTCAGTACTAGTAAGAACGCGACAGTACGATACTACGGTGATGAAAACGCGATAGTACGATGATGAAAACGCGATAGTACGATGATCATCGTTAGATATCGCGTTTTCACCATCGTACTTTCGCGTTTTCACCATCGTAGTTTCGTGACTTCGCGTTTTCACCATCGTACTATCGTCTATCGCTTTTCAGATCAACACATTCATAGGCGATGGCCCTAACGGCATTCCGTAATATACAGCCGTCATAATATTGGTTAAACGTAGTAACAGGGGCAGGTAATCCAGACTATCCGAAGACAAACTCATCGCAGCGGCTACTTCCCTTTACCGAAGACTGACGGAAAGGGCCGAAAAGTTGCGATAACGAACATGGTTGAAAAGATGTGATAGTATTAATACTTATAAAAAGAAGGTAGGTATTTGTGGCATTATTTCTTGCCTATAAATTCGAAAGCACCAGAATATTTCAAATAGCTTTAAGCGATAAGAAATTAAATGAAAATAATAATCGATCCCATTTACATCACAGTTGACGCATGCGCATAATTAAAGCAGCCATTTTCTATTTTGACAGCCATAGTCCTAGAACGGGTTCAAGAACGAAGATGTGGAAATTAAGTTTAATTCTGTGTCTTGTGTATATTTCATCCGTCTTTGGGCAAGGAAGTAAGTTTGTTATTTTAAAGGATTTTTTCCGGTTAGTTTTAGAATAGTAATAACGATAAATTTGTCTGATGTGAACATGCGAAATCAATCAGCTGATCACAGACACTTAGGGTGTGGAGCTCAAAACGCCATAAAAATCCAAATAAAATGCATATTTGTTAATCCCAGCACATGTACTTGGCAATCTCCTGGATTAGACCCCTATGTATATTTCAAAGGTAAAACTTGTATATAATGCACTATAGACAGATAGAAAACGGAATGAACCCGGGGTCTATTCTAGTCCAAATTTTTAGACGTAACCGCGGATTTGAAGCTATTTTTTACATGGGTCAAATCCGCTTTAACGTCTAAAGATATCTATTTCAAAGTCCATAGCAAAATGAAAAACAATAAACATGCACAATCATTCAAACTCCCTATGTAAAATGTTACAAATAATGCTTGGTATTCATAATCCTACCACTAACCACTAATGTGTATTTTACTTCTCAAATATTAGCATCATCATGTGTTGCTTTAACTAGCAGTCACAGAAAATTTAAATACCTTGATATCATAGAACCCTTGATATCATAGGAACCGAGTATATGCTTTTCTCTCGTCGATTTGTGTCTCTTATTTGGAAAAATTGCACAAAAAGCAGCACTTGCACAACAAATATCAGACATACATACAGTTCAATAAGTGCATTTGTTAAATAAATTCATTATCTAAAAGTTCAAAAACTTTAAATTACTTCTAAAAACAACTGCTCAAAGATTAGAGCATCTGAACATGTCAACCATGACTGTCTTGCTCGGCTGGACGCTTACCCATCAATACGTGATATTCGATTCACCCTGTGACGTCATCAAAATATAGGTGTTCACGCCACTAAATGTTAGCATGGTTATATTCAGTCCGATCTGATCAATATATGTTTCAAAGTCATAAGTTATTTTTTACATCATTATGAATATTTTTTTTATTTTTTGTAAGTGTGTTTGATAAATTATAAGTTATAACATCAATATTGAATATTTTAAAGTAATTAGGTCATCAAATGTACTGTAGGGTAAGCTAGTACTGTAGGGTAAGCTAGTTCATTATAAGTCATTAAGTGGAGTTGACTGTAGTTTCTAGGAGTATTCTTTAATACAATATTCTTCCTTTGATATGTTTGATTTTATAAGTAAGAAACAGTTGAATGTGGCTCTTGATCGTAAACACACACTACATACATGTATTACATAATCAGTTTCTCTTTAACTCTCATAATGATAACTTATTCTTATTACTCATTAAATGCTAGACAAAGAGGGCATATATGCATAATTATCATAATAAATGATTTCATTTTAAAATTTTATGTTAATTTTACCCGAAAAATATTTTAGAATTTGCATTTTAGCCCTTGCTCTTGTGTTGGAGGGGTAAACACCCCTCTGCCGAAAAAATGATCTGATCTGTGGTCAGGTTAAAACATGATATAAAAGACAGTACATCTTACTTATATATATAATATAATACAAAGTGTTTGTTGTCATGTCTGAAATTTGAATTATTACAGATGTCACAGGTGAGATTATTTTATTTTTGGTGAGAGTTCTTTAGGTTTGCTTGCAGTGCCATTATAAGAAAAGCATATTATTTACAAAAACATGTCTAAATTCATATTTAAAAGCTATTAACATATTTACACTAAAACTGCATTCCTAAATGACTGTCATTATCATTCCCTTCCAATTCCTTTGTATTGTAAACATGTAGTATTACTGGTAATTGTCATTTTACACGAGTTTCATGCATGTACATGACTTTGTACATGTGTGATTTTAACTAGAGGATTTATTGCACGTGACTGTTATAACAGCAAAATATAGTTGAAAATGGTGAATTCTGTTCTAAGTTTATAATGATTTTGGAAATAATGCTGTTGGAAAGAAAACTAGAACACATGTATTTGTTAGGAAACAAGAAAATACTGTGCGAATGCAACATGTTTTTATTTTGTTTTTCTTAAGAGTAAGGTAATGTTATACTAGTACATGAAGATAGTATCAAAGCTTGATATATTTCAAACACAGTTTAAGTATTTCCCCAAGTTGTACATTGAAAATAAGGAGTTTATGGTTAATAGGGTAAATTTTTTAAACCTAACAATATATCATAAATATGATAAATATTTGGTAAATTCTTTGTGTAATATGTTGACATTTTGAGTTTATTATTTACTTACTTAGTGAGTCAACAGGTGTTCAGATATCATTGAGATCTAATTATTTAATATTAAATAGGCTCATATTAAAAAGAAATACGACTATAAATTAGTAATTATATTTGCAGATGGTTTTTCAATTTAATGCATGCTCAGGTTTACAATTAAATTAATATTCAACATTCATTTTGTTTTAATTATCAAAGCAAATATATACAATTGAACACTGAACAAGTTTGCACAATAAGTTCATACGTATATGCATATAGCAACTGAAACTTATGCATATAGCACCTGAAACTTTCATACTTTAAGTAGTTCTTGTTATGTTAAGCCCTTTAACAATTTGAATATTGCTTCATAATTGTAATGCTCCAATGGATTTTCCCATATTTATCACTATAGAGACTGTAATGATTATTCAAGTGGCTCAAACTCCCATGCTTTCAACCAGAAATCCTATGTAGCTTACCTTAATTTTTACCTTGACTACTCTTTTTTTTTTGAAAAAAAAAAGGTAGAGGTATTGTAATTAGTGATGTTCCGATTGTCGCAAGTCACCAAAAATCAGTTACTGTTATGTAAAGCGATGATAATCGATTCACAAAAAATTGTTCAGCGACGTCGTCGAAAATGTTTAAAGTATCAAAGGGAATTAATTCTGAAGGTAATTTTCTTTGCCGGTCGCAAAAAAATTATCTCTGAGACACTTTAGAGTTGAACAGGATCAATACATGATGTAAACAATACAAATATAATGTTATGTGAATGTTATTATTTGACATCCATTGAAAAAATAAAATCTATTTCGTAAAATTATGACTATATAAGGTTAAAACTGTGTTGAAAAATGCTAAATGTAGTTCATGTTACTGAATATAATTGAGTGCCTTGGGAAGAAATGTGTCATCCCTATTTCTTTTTAACGCGACTTTATTCAAAAAGTTATTGATTATGGCCCATCCGATTGAACTGATGATCGATTGGGACAAATTTCATCCGATTTCCATCACTAATTGTAATAGTTCTTGCGGTGTTGCCGTTGCTGTCCGCAAACTTTTACCAGGATCATAACTTTATAAGTTATTAGTGTATTGTCTTCATACTTGGCCACAACAACCCTTAGGACAAGACCTTTCAGTTAAACAGACTAACCTTGACCTTCATCCATAAATGACCTTGACCTTCAAGGTTAAATGTCCAAATTTTGCTTGTTCTTGCTAGTATCGTCTATAACTTTATTTTTGGATGGATTGTTTTCAAACTTGAACATAATAATCTTAAAGGATAACGCTTTAGATTAACCAGACAGACCTTGACCTTCACTCATAAATGACCTTGACTTTGAACATCAAATTATTGAAATTTTCATATTGTTTTTTTCTCCAAATTATTGAATTTAAGTTAAATTGCCATAATTTTAAAACTTGTTTTTATTCTAGAGGTAATATTTTCAGCCTGTTTATCCTGAAATTTGTTATGTTTTGTAGCTCGACAAGTTTGAACATCCGTGAAAAACTAGCTCACACAGACCAAAAATGGAAAAACCTTGTTATCACTCCATAGGTTACATTTTTAGTCCAAATATGCATACAATTTGTCAGAAAAGTTGTTTGTATGATTTGCATAATGGGTCATCTGGGGGTTAAAAAGTAGCGGACACAGCTCAAATATGGGAAAACCTTGTTAACACTATAGATGTAATATTTGTTTACCCAAATATCCTTGAATTTTTTTAGAAAGGTTGTTTAAATGATTTCTAGCTTTAGTTTGAATATGGGTCATCTGGGGTAAAAACATAAAATGTTATATATGAAAAAACCTTAATAACATTTGCACTATTTCAGGCATGCAGGTATGAATGTTATGATATCATTTAATATTATGACATTATATCTGCTTTTCATTCATTGTTAACAATATTAATTCAGTGGTAATCTTAAATAATCTAAGTAAAGTTATGACTTAGATAATAAGGCCTATAGTATGGTTAACCAGTAGAATTCGGCAATTTGGATTTATGTTAAATTTCTCCTTCACTTCATCTATTTAAAGATATCTTTCATATTTTAATAATAATTAGCATATATACAATGTACCTAAGTTTGATTTTAAATGATTTTATATAATAATTATACTCTTTTAGTAGGTTATAAATATCTATCACATGTGAAGTTTTCTTCTGTAAAATGTCGAAAGCATTTCATAAGTTTATAATATTTTATTTCATGCTTTCCAGTGTTTTATTGTAATATATCAGATGATTATATTCTGATAAACCACTAGTGATATTTATAAAATATAATTTTCACTGTAGCCGGACTATATCTGAATGCGGATGAAAAAGAAAAAATCATAACTAAATGGAATAACAGGCAGAAAAAATTAATGCCGTCGTGCGTAAATTTTGCTTCTATATTAGGAAAAGAAAATCGATGTCATCATACCATCATGTTAAAAACGTAACAAAATTAAAGAAATTTAACAGACCTATATTTCAAAATTGATTATGTGACGTCATGATGTGATGACGTCACAAAGGAGAATGCGTGACGTAACGCGGCAAAAATCAGTAAAAATTCTTAAAATCACTTAAAAAGCATGAAAATAAAAAAAATTTATTTTTGTTTTACATAATAAAGATTGAAATATATTTTCATTCGTGAACACCAGCTATTATATTTTCACTCGTGGCCTACGCCACTCGTGAAAATATTGCATCTGGTGTTCACTCAGTGAAATTTATTTGAATCTTACATGCAAAACAAAAAATATCCCTCTATATATGTATTTTTAAATGAACCCTCTAGTTTTTCTATATATTAAAAATAAAAATTTATATTTTTATCATATTAAAAAAAACTTTTTGGGAAATATATTTTAACACAAAAAAATAACAGTTACTGGTGTAAAAATTGAAATGGATACTGATGGTGACCGAATTTTGATGATTTCAGTATTCTTCCCCAATGTTAGAATTTAACTCTTAGACTATATATTTGGAAGATCGGTAGATTAAACACAAGATACTAATCTTTTATGATACTTTTACATCAGCAATTTTAATTTTAACTATTTGATGATAATATTGAAAGAAATCATTTAACATAAGTTTTAGAGTTGAGTGCCTTTAATAGATAACCAACATGTTGTTTTTTTTACATTTACTGTCAGTATAAAAAGATCCTGTTCAAGTTATGAGCCACTCTCAAATGTATGAAAATACCAGTTTAATCATGAAATCTCTATTGTACCTTACAACATTTTATATACACATTCAGTGTTTTTTTTCACTTTTGGGGGAAGGGGGGACGCTGAGAGTAGCTCCTTTTACCTACCCAAGAACAACTTGTAAACAACCTACCTTGCTCAACAGTAAGTCTAACAGGCATAAAATAAAACATTTTTGGCCGGGTTGCACTGGTGCAAATCCGGGTTATAGTATGGTGAATGTTGGGCGGCGGGCGGGCGTCCGGGCGGCGGGCGGGGAAAAAAACTTTCGTAACAGTTTTTTCAGCAACTTCTTATCACAGCCTCTTGATATTTGGCATACAGCATTGACACATGGTCCCATACTGTGGGATTTGATTTCAGGTCTGTCGCTCATCCACTTCCTGTTTATCCACTTAGTTAAATTAGTTAGATTTTTCGACATTAATGGTCAATGGTAGGAAATTTTCGTAACAGTTTTCTCAGCAACTACTTATCACAGCCTCTTGATATTTGGCATACAGCATTGACACATGGTCCCATACTGTGGGATTTGATTTCAGGTCTGTCGCTCATCCACTTCCTGTTTATCCACTTAGTTATATTAGTTAGATTTTTTGACATTAATGGTCAATGGTTGGAAATTTTCGTAACAGTTTTCTCAGCAACTACTGATCACAGCCTCTTGATATTTGGCATACAGCATTGACACATGGTCCCATACCGTGGGATTTGATTTCAGGTCTGTCGCTCATCCACTTCCTGTTTATCCACTTAGTTAAATTAGTTAGATTTTTTGACATTAATGGTCAATGGTAGGAAATTTTCGTAACAGTTTTTCTCAGCAACTACTTATCACAGCCCTCTTGATATTTGGCAATACAGCATTGACACATGGTCCATACTGTGGGATTTGATTTCAGGTCTGTCGCTCATCCACTTCTTGTTTATCCACTTAGTTAAATTAGTTAGATTTTTCGACATTAATGGTCAATGCTAGGAAATTTTCGTAACAGTTTTCTCATCAAATACTTATCACAGTCTCTTGATATTTGGCATACAGCATTGACACATTGTCCCATACCGTGGGATTTGATTTCAGGTCTGTCGCTCATCCACTTCCTGTTTATTCACTTAGTTAAATTAGTTAGATTTTTTGACATTAATGGTCAATGGTAGGAAATTTTCGTAACAGTTTTCTCAGCAACTACTTATCACAGCCTCTTGATATTTGGCATACAGCATTGACACATGGTCCCATATTGTGGGATTCGATTTTAGGTGTATAGCTAATCCACTTCCTGTTTACTTACTGAATTAAATTTTCGACATTAATGGGTCAATTGAAAATTTTTTCCGTAACATCACAGCCTCATGATATTTTGTATACATATGCAACCCGGCCTTTTCTGTCTTTGACCCATTTTTTGACAGTAAGTTGCAAAAGAAATGGTATTCATTGCAGGCAAAATTTGGGCTGCCGTATAGGGGGATATTTCAGCTTTGAGCAGGGAAAAAACATACTATTTTGAGGGGGAATGGGGCTAAATTTCGCCGAATATTTTGGTGAAAAAACCCTGACATTATGAAGTGAGATATAAATAACATTTACTGGTTGAAAGAAGAGATTTCTATCAGTTGGTCTAACCAAATCACACATGAATATACATCTTTTACATCTTTGAACTACTTGTTATATGTGTATAATATACTAGTATAACTAGATATTTGGCATCTCTGCAGTATATAACAATATGTATATGATATTCTATACTATTTACAGGTATAGATCTAAAAATTATTCCTGAAAAGACATATAAGTTGATACTTGAGGGAGCTGAGTTAAAACTGGATTGTGTTGTAGAATTCACAGGAAAACCTAATGTAAAAGCTGAATTTTATAAAGATGACAACTTGCTTCCAGAAGGCACACATAATGGATATCATGTAAGAAAAATTCTTATAAATGAAATTGTTAAAACAAAACAGGAATGCCAATAATCCGTGGGGCCATCCTTAAAAAAATGTTTGTTTGCAGTAACGCAACCGACTCACAAAATTTGCCCCTACTCAAATTTTTTTTCATGGTATGGATAAACAAATTTTTTTTTTGAATCAGAAAATTATGCCTTGTGCTTTGTTTTTGTTCTTTTAAAAGTAAATAGAAAAATAAAATGTAGTTCTTATTAAATTAGAATTCAGTTATCAATTTATTAATTGTTACCAGATTATCAAAGCATATATTGTCCAGCATTTTGAAATTCCATGTTTATTTGGGAGTACATTGTGTGTACAGTTCAATAAAAAAAAAATTGACCTACCTACCCACCTTGAAAATTCTGGGTCGGGTTACTGCAAACAAACATTTTTTTAAGGATGGTCTGGATTTCTAGGTCGCCAGGACCACTTTTGTGAACGATGTAAATCTCTATCTCAGAGTTTGTTACAGTGTATTGTCCGATGGTAAATATTTAGACTGTACCGCCTTTGGGATATGTTCAGTTATTGATGCTATTATAGTAAGCCAAGGAACGATAGCATTATATATACCGACCAATCGTAACATAGCATATGTAGTGGTTGAAGGAAGAAAAACAAAATGTCGGCAGATTAGCAAAAGTGATATTAGGTAATGAAAATGTTTGATAAAGCACTTAAAGGAAATGAATTCTAGACCATCAGTCTGAAAGGATGAAAAACCAGAAGCTGCTGGGGCCTTCGCCCCCTGCCCTTGACCTGCATGGGGGCCTTCATTTGCCCTCACATCCCCTTGCTTTCATTTTCCATTACCTGTTGGCATCCTTGACAAAAGTAAGAAGTGATTTAACAAAGGAAATTATAATGACAATGAATTGCATCAATGATTGCTTCAGTGCCATATTGTAACATATATATAAATGTTTTTAAAGAAGTTTAATGCTTGTTGTTTTTTATGACAGGTAAGTGTAAGTGAGAGTGTTATAGTAGATCTGGACTTATATAGGAGCACAACAACATTGATCAAAAATGTAACTGATGCCAATGACAAGGGTAAATATGAATGCCGTGCTCAGAGAGGTACAGACAACGGAATGGATTCAATTGAAGTTATGACATTTACTGGTAAGATCAATAATTTTGTTTATTTCTACCATTTTACCTTAATCATTCTATTGCTTTTATTAGTCCCCTACCAAAGGGAATTTAAACTTACCCTCCGTCCGTCTGTCTGTCCATCGGTCCGTCTGTCAGAGCAAACATTTGGGTTTAGGGGCTATATAACAGTAAAGAGAACAATAGGTTCATTTGGTGATCAAAGGGTTTATGGGGCTAGAAGCCCGTAAGAAAACAAAGAAAATAGTTCCTAAACCCAGAATGTTGGAACGTTCGCTCTAACTGGACAGTAATAATGTGGCAAGAGGGACAATAGGTAACTGTTCTTTCTCTTTGATGTCATTCATCTTATAATGCTTTTATGTGGCTATTTATTTTTGTGTGGCTAAAAAGAACAATTGAGTAGCAACATTTTTACAGACCCCTTAGAACGTCCGTCAGCTGTTCTCATTTTGTTTCCCTTGTAGCTCAAAAAGTATTTGACCTTGGGTAATTAAACTTTACAGGAATGTTGAACAGCTGAGGTATTGCCCTTGATTTATTTAAAATTTGCAATTTTCAACTTGTGTCGCAAGAAGAATTGACTAAGAGTCATGAAATCGTACAGGAAAGTTGCTCAGCAAGTGAAGTTGTGCACCTGGGGTTTCGCTTGTGGATTTATTATGCTCCCCGAAAAATTTCAGGGGAGCATATAGTCGCAGGGTTGTCTGTCCGTCAGTACGTATGTCCCGAATTAGTGTCCGGCCCATAACTTATTATTTGAAGTTATTTGAAGTCGAATTTTACAACTATTTCACAGAAGTGATCACCATATTCCGACAACATGTCGGGCTAAATATTTTGGTCGCTACCTTGAAGGTCAAGGTCACAGCATGACCTTGAAGCATTATCGTATCTGGCCCATAACTACGTTATTTGAAGTCAGATTTTACAAGTATTTCACAGAAATGATGACCATATTGAGACAACGTGTCATGCGCAACATATGGGTTGCTACCTTGAAGATCAAGGTCACTGCATAACCTTGAACAAAAATCGTGTTCGGCCCATAACTTGGTTATTTGAAGTCGGATTAACAACTATTTCACAGAAATGATCACCAATTGAGACGATGTGTCACGCGCAAATTGGTAGATAGATCTAATTGAGTAGAAGTGCTATGAAAAGAACAGTAACTCTGCATTGCCTAAGTTTGGAATTATCACACTTTGAGCTTTGTATGGGACATAACTCTGAAACTACCAAAGATATACTTTTCTGTGTCCAACTCCTAGTCTGGGAGCATCACCCGGTTCAAACGGCTCTTGTTCTTGTTTTGTTAGATTTATTGCCCTTGACTTAGTAAAAAATTCCAATTTTCAACATGTTAGGCAAAAGCTAAAAAGGTCATGAAACTTTACAGGAATGTTGATCAGCATGTGAAGTTGTGCACCTAGGGTTTTGCTTTTGAATATATATGTTTTGTCAGAGTAATTTGCAATTTTCAAGTTGTTCATACATAGCTCAGGAAATATTTCACCTGTAGGCCTGAAAGTTTACAAGAATGTTGGTTAGCATGACTGTGTACTTATGCACCTTTGGGTTTGCTTGTGGATTTATTCTGTATTTGTAAAGTTCTTGCACTTTACACTTTACTTTTTTTTGTAAAACATGTAGCCCAAAAATATTTTCCCTAAAATCAGTAATAATAGATTTACATTTATAATTAACCTAACTAAATAAAAGACCGCCTCGATGACTTCTAATTCAGTTACTTCTCTGGCGTGGGTTCGATCCCCGGGAGATGCTTTGGTAGTTTAGCGCGGAGGAAGGTAGTCTAGTACTGGTGTAACTCTCCAGGAACTATGGTTAGGAAACTACCTGCCTATATGACTGAAATACTGTTGGAAAAAGGCATATAATGAAACAAACAAATCCTAACTAAATTATAATTTACCATTTACTTGAAATTTTATTTCATTATTTTCGTTTTACCATCTGGAGGCTAGTGGCTTTAAAATAGTTTTATGAAGAAGATTACAGGTTGAATTATATGTCAGATGAATATAGATTAAATATGTACAAAGTAAAGGTTTAATGTACGCTAGGTTACAACAAAGAAATAGTTCAAATTAAAGTACCAACTAAGGAATTTAAATGAGTTATCAAAATGAAGTGTACGATATGAAGATACTGACTTTGTTTTGGGATAAGGATTCTTTATTGCAATTTGATTGATTTTTATACATTTTTGAAATTTAGGAACATATCTCTGTAAACTGCTTCACAGTCTTGTGCAGGCTTTTAGATAGATATTAAATGAGAAATGGAATAAATGAGCCGCGTTACGACAAAACCAACATAGTGGGTTTGCGACCAGCATGGATCCAGACCAGCCTGCGCCTCCCCGCAGTCTGATCATGATCCATGCTGTTGGCTATCAGTTTCTCTACTTGTAATAGGGTTTGTAAGCGAACAGCATGGATCCTGATCAGACTGCGCAGGTTCGCAGGCTGGCTTTGTTCCATGCTGGTCGCAAACACATTACGTTGGTTTTGTTGTGACGCGGCTCAAATATCATTTGATTTTTATGCCCAGTTTTATAATATAGAATAGTGGAGCTATGTCTCTGGTTGGCATTGGTTAACATTTTGTTGAGTTCTGTATCAAAGCTATTCACTTTAAACAAGGTATACAAAGTCATGTTGAGTATCAAAATGTGACACCATATCAAAATGTGTCATCAGTTTCGAAATGTGACACCATTATCAAAAGGTCAGATTATTTTACTATTAATTCTGGCAACAGATAATTTTTAGCTCACCTGTCACAAAGTGACATGGTGAGCTTTTGTGATCGCTTTTTGTCTGGGGTCTGGCCATCGTCGGTCCATCATCAGTCCGTAAACTTTTACTTTAAATGACATCTTATAAACCACGAAGCCAATTTTATCCAAACTTCATAGGAATGTTCCTTTGATGGTCACCTTTAAAAGTTGTTCAAAGAATTTAATTCCATTCAGAACTCTCGTTGCCATGGCAACCTAAAGACAAGACTTAAACAAATCTTTCAGAGCTAGAGCTAAGATATTTGACATGAAATATCTTTTAGTGAGTGTCAACCAAGTTTGTTCAAATAAAAGCCGGGGTTCAAAATTTGCCCAGCCCCCCGGGGTCATTGATTTTCCTTATATGTATATAATAAAGACCTATGAAATCTTTTTAAAAATCCAAAGAGCTAGAGCTTAGGTATTAAGTATGAAACATATTCTATTGGGTGTCTGGGGTCAAAATTGGGCCCGTGAGGGGGTCATTGATTTTTCCCTATATGTTTTTCTGTTCAGGTGAGCAATTTTAGGGCCATCATGGCCCTCTTGTTTGTTTTTGGGAAAAATCAAAAAGATGAGCGTTGCCCTGGCCTGGTGATGGCTCTTGTTTGTGGAGTTATGGCCCTGGAATAAAAATCTTCCTTTGCCCTGTTAATGATATTTGTGTCTCCTGCTACACAGTAGCTGCAACATGCAATTGGCTATCATGAGATGGAAAGAATGAAGGTGCGAGGGAAATAAAGTATCTATAGCTCTACTTAAAACAAATATCAAATATATGTTTTGTTATGACTTTCATTTCAATAATGAAATTTGATTTTGTTTAAGGGAAACTATTTTAATTAAAATCATTGTCATGAAATGTATATATACATTTTGATTCACTGAAGTTCAGTGTGAGTTAAGTTCCTATTACAGAACTTTATGTCTTCATTTTCAGTTTGGTATTCACAATTTTGGTCTTTAAACATAAGTTTGCTACAATGGTGTTGCATAAAAACTAATCCTTACAAACTATATCCCAGGGTTTTTATAAACCAGTAAGTAACAAACATGTCCAAACTTGGTCAGATGATAAATTGGCATGTTATCTTTATTACCATAACTTATCCCCAGCTTCTCTGCCCTTTGTTTGCTGAACTTTTTTCTAAGTTCACTAAAAATGTTACAGACAACATGTAGGTATGTAGGCATTCAGTTTGGTTACTGTATAATTATATTCAGTTACCACTGTGTAATGGCCATCAATATATTGTATTCATTGTATTACACATTTATACATTTCTCTGGCGTGGGTTCGATCCCTGGGAGATGCTTTGGTAGTTTAGCGCGGAAGAAGGTAGTCTTGTACTGGTGTAACTCTCCTGGAACGATGGTTAGGAAACTACCCGTCTATATGACTAAAATACTGTTGGAAACAGGCATAAAATGAAACAAACAAACAAACAAACATTTGGTGACTGATTATCTACCACTAACCAATATTCTAGATAATGACCTGACTTAAAATTATTAGCTTGTTGAGATGATGTATAAGGAAACAATATACATGTATGAATAGGTAAATAAGATGCATATGATTTTATAATGTTTCTCAATTGTAAAGAAGTGATTGAGGAAGGAATTGAGATATGAATCAGCCTTCAGATGATATATGTTTAAATTGATTGCTAATTATATACATCATATTAATTATAAAGTATGATTTACTTAATTGCATTTGGTACATGTACTATTACATGTACATGTACTGGTTTATGTTTTTGGCCTCAAAAAGAGCTTAATTATTTTTGATGAAAATGCATTTAGCAAGTGTATTTAGGCACACATCTTTTGAACGTTATACTGGTCAAAGAAGGTGGTGCACTAAATATTGTTAAAACAAGTGATGAACTGAGACTTATTTTGATCTAAAAGCATTGTTGATGCTATTTAAAAATGTTATGACTGATATTGGGTTTAAATCCTTATCCTAAAAAGTAAATTTACTCTCCAAAACTTCAAGTAGAAAAATCCTTTTTTAAGGGACACAGGAAAAAATCATTAATAATAACAATTAAAATTGAACTAAATGAAAAAAAAACAACAAACAACTTATTGACAGAATAACTGATGTGTACCACTGAAAGTTGCATTTTGAATTTAAAATTGTGTGTTTGAGTGAAATTTACTAGAAGTTTAATAAATTTAAAGTGTTCTAAAGCTGTATGTAATAAAATAATTTCATAAAATTTAAAAACAGTACAATTTTGTTGTGTCCATGCTATTATGGTTGATTCCCAAAAGAGTTGTAACATAGAATATTAATAAACACACAAGAAAACTGTGCATTATAAAACAGAATAAAATGTTCAGGAACAAAACATTATTTTGTTATTTTAAGTAAGTTTTTATATCAGTAATTTTGTGCATGTGCCATTTGCTCAAAAGGAAAAATATATCAACATATTTCTTACATATAGGCATTTTGGAATATTTAAAAAAAAAAATCAAACAAAACTGCAGGCAGCTGAGATATAGCTTATATACTTAAAAAATATATATGCAGTGTGATGTTTTATAGTAAGCTATATAGTGAGCAGTAAATAAACCAATCATTATGAAAAAAAATCAGTATCTTCAAGTGTGTAGCTTATTAAACTATCCATATTTGTAGTATGGTTTTAAGAACATGAATAATAATGTTTCATGTATGATATTTGATATTTGTATAAGTAGAGACATAGAGAAGTGTGAGGATGAATAATAAACATGTATAACTTGCTATCAGTAGTGAAGGTCACTCACAGTCACAGTCATATCAATATTCTATTTATAGATCATGAAAGATGAGCAGGGACTAGTTACTAAACAAAACCAAAACTGTATAAAAGTTCATAAATGATTCCACTTAAGAAAATATAGATAGTTATTTGTAGAAATGAGCACTTGCTTAAATTTTCAAAAAATTGCTGAAATGCATTTGGAAAATAGCAACACATGAGTTGTCCTTATTTACGCTGCAAGGTCACACAATTAACAAAACATGAAATACATGATTGTATCATGTCTTAAACACCTGGTTTGAGAAAGATATATATGTCATACAATAAGACAATGTTAGATTGTCAATTATGTGCCATGCTGCATTTACTTTCTACTATACTAATGTAAAAATGTACTTATTAAATGCTTAACATTTATAAATACATACATAATTTGAAGTATTTTTAAATTCTTGAAAAGTGACCTGTCCTTCAAACATACCATTAAAGAAAACATGATTCTGATTACCTTAAAGATCGATATCGATACAATGGCATTTTAACAAAAACATATTGATACCTATTAAATACATGAAAGCTAAATGTACCAAAAAGTTTGAAAAATGGAACATTGTTGAACAAAATATCATTGGTTTTATCCAGAAAGCAGAAATAAAGCGGATATTATTGCAAATAGTTTTTGTAATAATAAATTTTTAATATTAAAGTACATAATATTTAATATAAGACTGATATTTTAGTTCAGAAGAACTTTTCAATATTAGTTCTGCTTAAACATGCTCCCTCCCTCACATCTTAAAGGTTGAACCATTATCAATTTGTTAGAAAGGCTGGTCTGTATAATGTGTTAAGTATTTTTCGATGTCACTTTGAAGCACTGAATCATTGCTGCAAGTTATCTAGTGTGAACTATATGATCATCATTTTATATACTTGTACATGCTGTATCGTGACTGTTGTTATAGTGATAGATGGATCGTTGATATTTATATTATTTAACATGAATTTTTGATTGTGTATAGCTAGTGGAGGTGATGGGGAGCTACCAGGGAAAGATGGTGACACTGTTGAATTACCATGTGATATAAACATCAAAGCTGTCACAATTGATGTTGACTATACAATCTCCTGGGAACGAGATGGGACAAGCCTTGTAGATGGTGATAAATATAAAATAAGCAACAACACACTGCAAATCTTCAAACCAAGTAATAACTGTTATTCAATTCACTTGTTTACTTAAAACAAATGATATAAAGTAAAATGTTCAAAGTGCCTACATGAACTAATTGATTCAAAATGGTACAAAGAGCAGCCCTATATTGGCATAAGGATATAGCCTCTTAAAAGTATTCTTTAGATATATGTTATGGTATATATATTATAGTTATAGTTATAGTAAAGTATTAATGTTACATAAGTGGAATGTGTAAGACAAGAAAATTTTAAGCTCTCCTAAAACATTTGAATGTACATGTTAGGATGTACTGAACATAAGATTGCCTCTGAAGCATTCAAACGTTAGTGAAAATTCAATAATAATATTATAGTGTGAAAAATGTCATTACATTCAACAGTTAATTATGTTAACTAAATTTATATTAATATTTATATAGTTACATGACTTACAAGTTATCTGGTATTTGCCTGAAGTGAAGGTTTTTTTCTACTCCTTACAGCTCTGTTTTCTATATAAAACCAATTGAAATAATACTCTTTACAGCACGAGCAGATTTAGGAGCTTACCAATGTGTAGTAGTTATATTCCCTACCTCCGAGGTGGAGAAACAGACTGTTCGTACCAAACCGTCTTACCTTAAAGGTGAGTTCAATTTATGTTTACCCACTGTTATGGGAATCTTGCCTGGGATATTTTATTATTTCATTAGAGGAAGCAATTCAGGGAGCTTATAGAAGGTTAGTGCCAGCCTATACCTGAATAGTGATACCAGTTAAGTAACATGTGTTTTATCACCCAACCAAACAATAGAAAATGTTATTTTCTTACTGCAGATCAACCTGGCCTTTCAACCACCTTGATTAAGCGACCCCTGCTGTCAATGACCACTTTAAGAGTTTTCACTATATAATTTAACTCCCTTAAGCGACCCCCTGATTGACGGGACCAGCAACTATATAAATATTATCCTGATAGGCTGTTAAACCTCCCATGTATGCGACCGACTTCATCACATCTACAAATTTTAACACTTAATCGATATGCGTCCTCTTGAGGCATATTATTATTTATTAACAGAGCTCCAAGTAGCATGAATATCAGCATAAAATATTCATGGAAAAATTCAAAATACGCATGAGTTTCAGAATTCATTCGTCACAGTACACACATCAAAACAAAAATACGTTTGTGTATCAAAATGCATGCATGAAGAAAATTGTTGTTAAAGTGATATTTCAAAAGATGATGTTCTGATTTCCTAAAATACAATATATTTCTGCTTTATTTTATGGAAACTAAAATGCTGTTGTCAACAATGCTGTATGTTTAAATGAAAGGAGCAGGAAGCGACATGTGTACAAAAGGGAGGTAACTCCCATACCTGAATTGAAATCCGATTTGGATTGATAAAATTAATGTGGCAGGTAATCATTGTAGGGCCCCATGTGATATTAAATTTGCTTAGACATGTCATGTTTTTGCTACAAAATTTGTGCCACTTTTGTACTTGGAAAAATGTATTTCTCCTTTTCCTGCAGTTTTGTACTCAATATTTTCGTACCCAGTTTTGTTAAGAAATATTTTTAGCTCACCTGTCACAAAGCTTTTGTGATAACTTTTCATCCGTCGTCAGTCTGTCGTCTGTAAACTTTTACTTTAAACGACATCTCCTCATAAACTGCTGAGCCAATTTCATCCAAACTTCACAGGAATGTTCCTTTGGTGGTCACCTTTAAAAATTGTTCAAAGAATTTAATTCCATGCAGAACTCTGGTTGCCATGCCAGCCAAAAGAAAAAACTAGCTAGAGCTTAGATATTTAGCATGAAACATCTTCTAATGGGTGTCTACCAAGTTTGTTCAAATAAAAGCCCTGGGGTTAAAATTGGCCCCGTCAGGGGGAGGTGGGGGGATCATTGATTTTCCTTATATGTGTATAGGAAAATCTAAAAAGTCTTCTTTTAGAAAACCCAAAGAGCTAGAGCTTAGATATTTAGCATGAAAATTTTTAGTGAGCGTCTACCAAGTTTCTTTAAATAAAAGCCTTAGGGTCAAAATTAGCCCCACCCCGGAGGATCATTGATTTTCTTTATAAGTATATATTAAGGAATAATGTTTTTACACATGCACTATTTCAGATACAAATATGAACTTTGTGATATCAGTTTAAGATTTTATATCTGCTTTTGTTTGTAGTTTACAATAGTACTTGTTCCTTGTCATGGAGAGTTTCTATTATACAGGCGAGTGAATTCTGAGCCATCATGGCCCTCTTATTAAACATGTATTAACATACACTGAATAAACACTCGGGATGCTTTGAGATTTGTTCAAAAAACTTAACAGCACAAAAGTGACTCTGGTTTATGAGACAACCTGTCTTTACAGACCACTTTCCTCTTCTCCCCTTGTTGGTCTCTTAAGGCAGTTTGGACTGTATATGTAACTAGACCATTACTCTGTAGGGTTCAATCTTGCAAGGGTCTATTACTTATTTTAAAAAAAAATCATTTGACCTTATTTGTCAGTGTTTCTTCAGAACTTTACAGTTTGGGAGTTATTAGAATTATCTTTTGTTGAGAATACTGGAGTCAGTCTAGAGTTATACTTTATCTTTACAGCAAGTCCAAAAATAGAGTCCCATGACAACAATAAGAATATGGTTCAAGGTGATAATCTTGAACTGAAATGTAAAGTATCTGGCTACCCTACACCCACTGTGTCTTGGTTCAAAGATGAAAAAGAGATTGAAACGACCACGAGGATTCACACACTGGAGTATGAGGGGGCAATGGGCAAGTTGATGATTTATTCTCTCGAAGATGAAGATGAGGGGATCTATAAATGTCTGGCTGAAAATGAAGTGGCACCTTACAATGCTACAGCTGAGATGAGAGTTAGAGTAAAAGGTAGGTTACCCTCCATTCCAGTTCAATCCTGCAAATTGTAATGTTGCTATTAACATATTGATTGTCTAGAAATGTTTATTGTTATTAATTAATATTTGATTAATATTTTAAATGCAATAACATTTTATGACATTAAAATTATATCCCAGCCACTATTGTATATTAGTGGTGAAAATTTATTGTCAGTTTATAAAATTAATTTTTGTAAGTCTTGTCATCAGTAATGAAATATGCTGTGAAAAAATTAATGTCTTTGGAATTATAAAAACAACTTATTAAAGTATATATGATATTTTTCCAGTATGTTTGGAATTTTTGCACAAAAGCTGCTATGATAAAGGCACAAAGTTACTTTGAATTTAGGAGTTTGTCTATGATTAAGATTAATTTCAATATACTGAAAGTTAGTTATCACTAGTTGTGTCAGAGAGTTGATTTAAAACTAGGAATTCATATGTATACACTGTCAGTGGTGGTTAAAGGGAATATTTTATGCCTCAAGACATCATGTATAATAATGCAGTATTTGTTAAGTAAAAAGCTCGAGGCAAATTTAGTAAAATATTTAAACCATATATAATTATAATGCCAATCAATCAAAACTGTCTGACAGACTTATTATGATTTGTGAAAACAATGACAATCCAAAAAATGCCCCTTTGGCTGCAGCTGTCAGCCGTGATATACCAGTGAAATCATACATATATATCTAATAAACCTTTATAATGTTGATTGCTTTATAATGTTGATTGTTATTAGAGGGGACTTTTTCAAAATGTTACTGCTAGTTAATGTTTTAAATGTCCCTATGTATGTATTTTTAATGTCCTCACACCTCATAGTAAAGCAGTTTACAATATTTGTAATTTAAATGCCAGTTTGACACAAGCAATATATGGAATAAGTATCTGTGTAAATGCATGGTGTCCTTTTACCTTAACAACATTTTTGGGAGCTTTCATAAAATTAAAATAAAGGCAGAAATAAAACTGTCCAATAAAATGTCTTTAAACCTTTGTTGACAGAAATATTTTGAGCAAAAAAAGGGAAAAAAAGTAGGTGACACCAATTTTACTTTTGAGTTATCTGCACTTGAATCAGAATTATTATAGAATTATAAAAAAGTATCAACTTAATATTTTGTAGGTAGATAGAACTACCTAAGTAGAACTGCAGTGCATAAGAACCCTAACCCTCCCTTTGTAGTTATTGCCCTTTGTTCATTTTTAACTCAACTATTCGCAGAATATTCGAGCTAATGCAGTCACCCATTTGTCTGATGTGTCACTGTTGTTAAGTTTTTGCATGTAAGCTGGTATCTCCATAACCTATGAAGGGAATGGATTGAAACTTCACACACCTGTTCTCTGTGATTATCTAACATGATTGGCACAAGTCCAATAACTCTGATTGCTTTTCTGCATATTTATGCCCCTTTTTCGACTTCGAAATTCTTGGTTTAGTTTTTGGGTGTAAGCTGGTATCTCCATAACTACTGAAGGGTTTGTGCCTTTTTTTGTGACAATTTTATGCATTCATAATAATCAAACAGTGATTAACTCGATAAAACATCTTAGTAACAAGCCTTTGTACCTTTTAGGACAATTTTATGTATTTATATCTAGGTAAGCATTATTATACTCAATGAAACACACTTGTAGCAACTTTTTCGAATAGTGGAGCGTCACTGTCCTCTGACAGCTCTTGTTACAGATAGGCATTAGAAGGAGTATCTAAATACTAATTATTGGTGGAAGTTAAACAAATTGTTGATTTTGTTTAAAGTATTTTATAACATTTAACTTGAAAAAATAAGAGTTAATTTTTAATGGGCAAGATTGTTTTGCCACTTTACCTGTCGGCTATATGGACAACGTCTCGAAATTGTGCAAATTACGTACTCATTATTTGTTTTCCAAGGGTTGAAATTAGAAACTGCATCGCCTTCAAAATAATGAAAGCTTGCCAATGATTGGTTGTTTGAAAGACCACAAGAATGTGATTGTCTATGGGTGAATGTTAGGTTCTAATGTGTAGCGTAAATTTGGAGCTGATTTTAATTTGATTGCAACACTACTTCTGTGGGCAGTCTTTCTCTAACGGAAAGACTGATATGGGTTGAAGGGCTGATATTATGTTTTATTATACATCACCACAAAAATATATGTTCAAAAAAGAAATACCAATATAATAAGTTGCAGAAAGTTAACCCATGAGTACCACTGCTTTTCTTAATGGTTGAATTTCAAAAGCTTTGAATTCTTAGTTAAGTTTTTGGGCATGAGTGAATTACGCTACACATTAGGATCTAACATTCACCCATAAAATGCAATGTGAGCATAGATATTTTATGTTAAAGCTAAGATATTTTTAATAAAGTATTGCCTCGTTGACTTCCACAAAAGTTATGTAAATCAAGCTCTAATGGTCAATATTGGCCCTGCCCCAGGGGTCGCTATGATAAGAAAACTTATTTACATGGATGTATTATAATATAAAACTATAATGCTCCGATCTTTGTTATTTGGCATGTATCATTTCCTAGAAATATATAGGAAAAGTAAAAAAAGTAGAGCGTTTACCATCTTGTCAGTGGCACTTGTTAAACAAAACATATTGTATATTTCAGACAAGCTTGCTGCTCTTTGGCCATTCCTTGGTATTGTTGCAGAAGTTATAGTTCTGTGTGTTATTATCCTCGTCTATGAGAAGAGAAGAAGCAAGAAACTTGAAGAGGAAGATGCTGCCGATGGCAACCAGTAAGTAGTCAGATGTTGAAATGATAACATATTTTTATCAATAATTGGTACTATAGGTGAGATTTAAACCAAACTTCACAGGAGTGATCAGTACCATCTTTGTTGTGCATATGGCCGGCACTTATCTTTCTTTTAAGAAAATGGCCGCCAGAGCTATAAATAGAAAAATCTTGTCCAGGTACCGGTCAAACTGCTGGCGTGATTTCGCCATTACTTCATAGGAGTGATCAGTACCATACCTTGTTGTGAATATTGCCGGCACAGTCCGCTTTGCTGCACAAAATGGCGGCAGAGCTATAAATAGTAGGGCTGGGGAGAGTATCCAAGTACTCGGATAATCAAAACATTAGTACAAATATACGTCTGTCCAGAGATCATGGATAGGGATCTTATTTGTTTGTTTCTCACACTCAAAAAGTGAAAAAGAAATATATAATTTGAGTATGAATTATGCTAAAGTCAGGAAGTAAACAAACCATGATGCTTAGCTAAGAAGTCAGTAGTTTCGAAAAAGGAATGAGAACTATGTTTTGACATGAAAATAAATAAATACTTTTAGTCGCTATATATATATTAATAATAATAACGTGACATATATAGAAGACAGTTTTATAAAATTTGCGAAACTCAATTTAATAATTTTGTCAGTGTGACATCACACATCCTGTCTACAACAATATCTGAAAAGGAGTCATGCTGATTAATTCCACCAGCAAAATTTACTTCCAGTGTTTGATAATACTTTGGTATTTCAATTGAAAATGAGAAAAATAAATAATTGTTTTAGAACTAATGTTCATGTTTTTATGGGAGTCTCGATAACTAAAGATTTGTGGTTTGATTTGTGAATTGTAAGTGCTGAATTGTGGATAGGATCGGAGTGTCACTGGTGATCCAGCTTTCATAGTCAAACTGCTGGTGGGATTTCAATGAATCTTCACAGGAGTGATCAGAATTGTGCATGTCACTGCCAGCTTCTGCTTGATTGCACAAAATGGCAGCCAGAACTAAAAAAATCTTGTTCCTTTGTGACAAAACCTCTTCTAGTTTACAATTATTCCTGAAGTCTTTAAAGTAATTGTAACTTATAAGAATTTTATTTGCAAGATTTAAAGTTTTGTTATATTAACACATAAAACAATATAGAAACTTACATTGTTTCTTTGTACTTTTAGGGAGAACCCAGTTGATCACAAAGATGTCCGTCACAGAAGAACTTAAGTTAGCAAAGTTCACCAGACATAGGGTGATATTGATAGGAAAGATGATAATAAAAACAAAGAAAATCCAAAAATGTTAACATGAATTTTAAATTGTGTCACTTACTGTGATTCATTTCAGATCTCAAAAAATCATTCAGTAATTTACTGATAAAAAAAAGTTCTTTTTTGTTTTTTAACAAAGATGTGTATATTAAGTACAGTAAAATATAGCTTCTATTTTCTCTCTCTTTAACAATATATAAATCCTTGTTCAAAAACAATAACATTTTACTTAATATGAAATGATGCTATACAATGTATAGAAAACTTAATGTTGATTTTATTGTAACATGATGACAACTGTAAATTATAAGTCTGTGTTTAAAATATCACAAATCCTTTAAGATGAACTTAGTTATTGGTAAATTATGTTTATGTTTTATTCCTTTTTTACATAATTTCAAGCTGTTGCTTAACATGTACATGAAAAAGGATGATAGGATGATGGAAGTGCTGTGTAGATGATACTATGATAGATTGAAATGCAGATTTTAGAGATATACAGTACTTAAATGTTTAAACATTTATCATAGAGGTTGATTGTGAAGATGTGTTAATATAAGCATCATATGATAGAGTGAAATTACATGTTTGACATTAACATCGTACTTATTATGTTGTATCTATGTATACAAATGCATTTTGTAGAGTAAAGCTTTTTTCTCTTGAAAACTTCCAAGTTGTGTATTGAAAATATTCAGAATTTTATTACGATATTTGGTAAGAAATAATAGGTTAATATCATTAATTTACTGACAGTTAAATCTTATCCTTTTCTTCCCATAGAATTGAACAAATATTCCTGATCATGATTTTGGGAAGTTGAAATAACGTATCATTGAAATGTTGGAAATAGTTGGCTTGTTCACTGCAAGTCAGATTATACTCGGCTGCATTTAAGAATAGTGTGTTGTATTACCTACAAGAAAGATATGAAAATGGAGAAATTCAAATGTACATTATTTTTTGAGGAAGGAATCAAAACAGATTTGGATGTCCTAGATGAAATATTGATACACTACAAGCATGAATCAGTTGTTCATATACCAATATTGTACATATTGAATTAATTATATAACATTCAATGCCTAATTGTTTTACTGATAGAATGGAATATGATTGTTCATGTTGATGATAAACTTTGTTCTGTAAAATTTTTAGGTGTCTATTTATATATACCAGAATGTAATTTGCACCCTGTTTTTAATTTTATCATTTTTTTTTTACATTCCTGTTGCAAATTTCATTTATGAAAGTGAGACATTTGGGTTTTAAAATAAGTTGTTATTTTGCTTAATTTACAATAATATACTATTTGAAAAAATATAAAAAAAAACACTTCACTGAGCAAAGAATTTTATTGAGAGTAAAATTTCACATTTTTTTTTGTTTTTTATTAAATTCATGTGGATCATTTTCATACAAGTGATCTGTTGATATTTTGTTCAAGAAATATTCCAGCATTGAAGGTCATTTAGGCCTCTTGCATTACATCTTGTATAATAGTGCAAAATTGGTATGTCAGAATTGCTTTCTATATATTATTGTAGCTTTGATATGGGGTTCTCTTACAAACACTCATTATCTGAACAGAAAACTGAGTGATAATAAAAAAGGACAAGTCGTGAAAACCTTCAGAATGGAATCACATGTTATTTTGTCATTGGTCAAACTTTTGATGTAAACAGAGATATATAAGCAGACTTTAAATTTTCAGTGTCATTAATTTGTACCTTTGAGTTCTGTCATATAAAGTGTAAACATTTACTGGGAAAAGTTAAAAAACACACTAATTTGTCTATTTTAAGGCAGTGTATTGTTATGATGTAGTTAGTAGGTTGATAAAACATAGAATAAAAAATTCTTAGTAATTTAATGTTATCAATATAGCGTGTACACTGTATAATGTTGTGCTTTACTAATATTAGGTAATTTTCTACTGTAGTGTGTGATTCTTACTCTTGTTTTTTTTATTTGTAAAAAAAATATATCAAAATTTCTTTGGGTGTGGTTTGAATTGCTCTATTAACAATGTTTTAAGGTTTGTTCATTTTGTCTGTGAAAAGCCATGCTTGTTTGCTGTATAACATTTTCTTGGTGCAATAATTTGCTATTTCTATGAAAAAGAATTTTGGTGTACCTGAAACTTTTTTGTATATTAAATTCTTTGGCATCATAAGTTTTACTTTATCCCATTTAGCAAACCTTTGTTTTGAAATAGAGATTCATTAGAAGCCAAGGTGTGATGGAAAAAAAATGTTTTGATGGCTTATATTTTGATACAAAAAAAAAAAAAAAAAAAAATCATGCATTGAAATCTTGAATTATGGCAAAAAGATAAAAGTAACATTATAATCAAATCTTATTATTTTAAACTGTATAAAGACAGGAGTGTTAGTTTTCAAGGCTTGTTTATATGTTAATTTTTACACACATCATTGTATCATGCATTTCTATAGAAACATATGTTTTAAATAAATTAATCCCATTTTTGTTGAGTTCTGTTTTCATTGGTTTTGTAAAAGTTAATATACAAGAAACAGAAAGAAATAAAGTTGTCTCCAGGAGGAAAATTATATACAAAATCATACAAGTTATGCAAAATCAGCTTGAAATCCATTATGCTTACCAGTACAGTATAAGGAATGTTCCAGAATGATGCACTTAATTATTACAACAAAAGGCCCACGATAGCTCTTGATAGTGCAGCAACATCATAATTCCTCATTTAAAAGTTGGTGACAGTGGTGCTGTAATGCCACAGGTTGAAGCTCTTGGCATAGCATTTTGGAGAAGATTTTTTAAATATTTTATTTTTAAAACTATTATTCAGCTCGACTTTTTTTTTTTGGCAAAAAAAGGGTATTTTTACAGTCATGTTGGCGTTGCCATCTGCAACTTGAACCATTATCATAACTTTTTAAGTTCTTGATGTATTGTCTTCATACTCTGCACCAACAACCCTTGGGACAAGACCTTCGAGTAGACCAGACTAACCTTGACCTTCATTCATAAATTCAAGGTTAAATGTCTAAATTTTGCTTGTTTTTTGCTGTATTTTGCTATTAGTGGCTATAACATTGTTATTTTTTCAAACTTAAACACAACAATATTTTATGATAGACCTTCAAGTTAATCAGACAGAATGTGACCTACACTCATAAATGACCTTGTAGATCATTTCAATTTCTTTTTTGCTGTAACTGGCAATAACTTTTTTATTGATGAATGAATTGTCTTCATATTTAGACACAGCATTCTTTAGGATAATACCTTTATGTATATCAAACTCAATTGACCTTGGCATTGAAGGTTAAATTATTAAATTTTAACTTATTTTTGCTATAATTTACTTACTTGATAATTAATAAATGGATTATATTCATACTTGGAAAAACAACCTTTTAAATAAGACCTAAAAGATTTAACTGACCTTGACATTTTAAATAAAATTTATCTTTTCATAGCAAACAATAAATTTCCATAACAAGCAGTGACTTCCAAAGTAAACATTAACTTTCCATAGCAATGAGTAAATCTACCATTTAAGCAGCCACTGACTTCCGAGGAAACCATTTATTTTGCATAGCAACCAGTAACTTCTTTAGTAACTATTATTATACCCCCAAAACTAAGTTTTGGGGGGGTATATACAGGAGTCACTTGGTGGTCAGTTGGTTCAGCCGTCCATTGTATTTCCCTTGTCCGGAGCATAACTTGAAAACTATTGGTTGGAATTCAAAACAACTTCATACAATGGTCAAGCACAATAAGAGGAAGTGCAGTACACATGAACCATAACTCTATCTAAAGTAATAACATAGTTATTGCCCTTTGTTATTTTTCATAGCAAACAATAAATTTCCATAACAAGCAGTGACTTCCAAAGCAAACATTAACTTTCCATAGCAATGAGTAAATCTACCATTGAAGCAGGCACTGACTTGCGAGGAAATCTTTTATTTTGCATAGCAACCAGTAACTTCTTTAGTAACTATTATTATACCCCCAAAACTAAGTTTGGGGGGGGGGTATATACAGGAGTCACTTGGTGGTCAGTTGGTCCAGCCGTCCATTGTATTTCCCTTGTCCGGAGCATAACTTGAAAACTACTTGTTGGAATTCAATACAACTTCATACAATTGTCAAGCACATTAAGAGGAAGAGCAGTGCACAAGAAACATAACACCGCTTTGACAAATTACAGAGTTATTGCCCTTTGATACTTTTCCTTGTCCAAAGCATAACTTGAAGACTAATAGTTGGAATTCAATATAACTTCATACAATGGTCAAGCAGATTGAGAGGAAGTGCAGTGCACACGAATCATAACTCCATCTTCACTAATTACAGAGTTATTGCCCTTTGATACTTTTCCTTGTCCAAAGCATTACTTGAAGACTAATAGTTGGAATTCAATATAACTTCATACAATGGTCGAGCAGATTGAGAGGAAGTGCAGTGCACAAGAATCATAACTCCATCTTCACTAATTACAGAGTTATTGCCCTTTGTTGCTTTTCCTTGTCCGGAGCACTTGGCACAAGTGATCACCATCATGGGGACGATTTACAGAACCCAATATCCAAGTTGCTACCCCCAAGGTCAAGGTTAAATGTTCTCCATAATTATTTGACATTATGGAAGATTTAAATAACTTGGAACAAATAATTACTACATTGTATCATGAGACTATATGCTTATAATATACATGGCACAACATCAAGGTCATGGTCTAATAAAGGTCAAGAAGTACACATTCATGTCTGCTGTGGAAAGGATTTAGCTGTCCTTCAGACTGCCTTGTTTACTTTTAAACATACTTTTAAGATATAAAATTTAGATTTGAAATTCTTACTATTGGGAAAAATCAAGATGACAACATTGGAAAATTGGTTGAAGTTTTTATACCCCAACATCTTAAGGGTATGGAGAGTCACATAGAAATTCCTTTGTCGGTCTTTCTGCCGTGTTGTACGTCAGAATACTGACAAAACAGTGGAGTGTTGGGGCATCAACTTTTTGCTCAACAAGAGCCACCGCCAGGCGGGGGCAACGCTTGACTTTTTACTTTTTCTAAAAGCAAACAAAGAAATGTTTGAACAAATCTTAACGTTTCCTTTTAATAAATTTAATAGGTCTTGTCACATTAGTTTTGTCAAAGTATGAATCCTTTCCATAATTTAATATTCACAAGTGTATTACAGAAGAAAAAAAAAAAGAAAAAGATGTTTGTAAATATATATTTGTAATAGTAAACAGCATAGCTAAAAATTCAAAATGGTTTTAAATAATAAAAAAAAAACACAACTAAAGGTAATAATGCTAAAACTTTAAAACAATCATACTACTAAAGCCACATATTCTCGCAAATGCCCAGTGTCCAAAAAGTAGGTAGTATAAAAAAGCAGCCTGGGTCATAAAACTTTTATTCTCAGTACATGTATAAGTGGTCTAAAAACAAAAACATAGTTCCATATAGTATCTTGATCTAAATAAATCACAAAGTTCTAGGTTACTAAGTAATATAAAGTATATAAATGTTTTCTTGCACATTTTTAATACTTAAATAATTTAGGTTTGATTATTTAATATTATCAATCATTTGTAGAATCATTTGTCTCCAATCAATAGACAGGTAGCCCCCAAAAGACTTATTATTATTATTAAAACATTCAAATATCTATCCAAAGATACAGCTCAAAAAATCATTAGAATAGCTTGAATTGCTTCAAAATCTGGGCAAGACAGTTAAAGATCTATTCTTGATTGTTTGTTCATTTAGAGTGAAATTATAAGTTTCAGACTTCCAAAAGTCGACTTAGAAACTAAGATGTTTGAATCTGACCATCGACTTACAAATGACAGAGTGACCATCAGTGTGTAAATAGCAGAAAACGGTTTTCAGTAAAAGCTAAAAATATCATCTGCCTTGAAGTTAGACAATAGTGTTATCAATTTATTTGAGATAAAGCAAAAATGCATGAAAAGTGTGAATTTTGTATTTGTAATTCTCATTAGAAGTACATATTTGAGCCGCGTCACGACAAAACCAACACAATGCCTTTGCGACCAGCATAGATCCAGACCATCCGTGCAGTCTGATCAGGATCCATGCTGTTCCCTTACAAACCCTATTACAAGTAGAGAAACTGATAGCAAACAGCATGGATCCTGATCAGACTGCGCGGATGCGCAGGCTGGTCTGGATCCATGCTGGTCACAAATGCATTACGTTGGTTTTGTCGTTATGCGGCTCATTTTGTTTTTTTAACAGTCATGAGAGGTGAGCCACATGGTGAATGCAATCGACAGTTCAAACATAAATAAACATTTAAATGAGCACCTAGTTATAGATAGAGCTATTGTTATTGTTTGGTTAATATTGACCAGAGACATTTCATTAGATTATGTTGCTGACAAAATATCTAAGCTCTATCCTTGCACTTTCAGAGGAGAAGGTTTTTTAAGTTTTTAGATTATGTACATAATGAAAATCAATACCCCCCCCCCCAGCCAGGCCTATTTTGACCAAAGGGCTATCTTTTGAGCAATCTTGGTAGAGGTCTACTACACAATGTTTCACGCCAAATGTCTAACCTGTAGCCTTTGTCAATTCACAGAAGATGATTTTTAAAGTTTTTACTAATTATATATATATTGTTTTATTAGATGATGATGCGCACAAAATATCTGAGCTCAAGGCCTTGCACATTCAAAGGAGAACATTTCTAGAAGCTTTTACTTTATATACATAATGAAAATTATTGACCCCCGAGGGAAGCCAATTTTGACCCCAAGGCTATAATTTGAACAATTTTTGTAGAGTTTCATTAATGATGCTACACACAAAATATCTAAGCTCTAGGCCTTGCACTTTCAGAAGTAGATTTTTAAAGATTTTATTTTAAAAATCTATTTTTAGCCCTTCTTATCCAGATATTCAATGACGCAGAACTGTTTGAACAATTTTAGAAGAACATCCCAGGAAAATTTCATCAAATTTGGTTCAGTAGTTTCTGAGAAGTTGTTTGTATAAATAGTTGACGACAGACGCACAGATGCACACCAGACAAATTATGATCACAAAAGCTCACCTTGAGCACTTTGTGCTCAGGTGAACTAAAAATGGTTTAACTTTAAGTAAATTAATTCTTTCAGTATAATTTTATACATTGCTTGCAATGTATACAAAGTTATAAGCTAAATCTCCACAGGCGTTACAGATTTATCCTCTACCAAACAACATCCACTTCCTGATAAAAACCGCTATAGAAACTAGTTCTTCATTCTGCAGTATTGTTACATTCCGACTACACATCATTAAAATATTGTTTGCAAAGTTGTTTTAATGCTTTGAAAGTTCCAAATTGTTCATTTTCATAAAATAATACATTCCTTTATAGAAAACAAAAAATAACAGTTCATTGATAAAATCGTAGTATATACCTACACATTAAACTTCGCATACAAACATGCTCTTGCAAGCATGAATGAATACATCGTAAATAAAGTCATCAGAATTATATAAATGAGACGAAACATCTAACATAGATATCAAACCAAATTACTGATTTACATTTATGCTTTAAAATTGTCCTAAAATGGTATGTAGCTCCGTAAAACAAAATTTACACAAACAACAAAGTATACTGGAAAATGTTGTTTTTTTGGTTTTTTTTAAGACTTGGCAATTATCGTGGCTTCGAAAAATAGAAATTTCGTAAGGTATTCTTTTGAATACCATTTTACACCTGATTTAACCTTTCACTTTTGTATGCCTTAGATTTTTAAAAAGAAATATGTGTCCACTACACTATATTTTATGCAAAATAAACAACATCTAGTCTTTGTTAATACAGAGAAGATAATTTATTATAAGTTTTTATTATATACATATAAGGAAAACCTATGACCCACATGGCAGGGCTAATTTTGACACTAGAGGCAAAATGTGAACAACTTTGGTAGGGGACCTATAGATGATAATATATATCAAAAACAAGGCTCTAAGCCTTGTACCTTCAGACCAGAAGGTTTTTTAAGTTTTTACTATATGAACAAAGTGAAAATAAATGACCCACAAGGCGGGGCCAATTTTGACCCCAAGGCTATAATTTGAACAATTTTGGTCGAGGTGTTATCTTTTGCAAAATATCTATGTTCTATGCCTTGTGGACCTTTACAAGAAGATTTTTAAATTTATTCTTATAATTCCTTTTGGTTGCCATGGCAACCAGATATCTGCATGGAATCAAATTCTTTGAAGAACTTTGGAAGCCCTTCACCCAAAGAACAAGCCTGCCAAGTTTGGTTAAAATTGGATAAGTAGTTTTTCACAAGAAGATTTTTAAAGTTCACTATATAATGTATATAAAACACACACACATGCAAGCACACGCACGCAAGCACAGGTGAATCGCTGGATTGCACTGGCAACAGCAGTGGCAACGTCAACATTGCCGTAGCAATAGATATTTTTTTCCCTTAGAAATATACAACCTTAAAAGATCATTGAAATTATGATAAAATTCCTAAGAAACTACAGCTGGCAAATACACCTGTTATGTCATCATAATAATATTATTAATCACAACTTTAAAAAGATGATGAAATTCTAAAAGAAAAAAAACATGCATTGTTTAAATGAATTTCTTTCTTTCTAGTATCAGTGAATCTTTCTTTATCCATGTACCAATTGTGGCCCTTTTAGTATGAGTCATTTGTGTGACCATATTTTCATTTCTGTTCTCCATTAGATTCTTGAACTGTTAAGCTGGTTACCCTAACAAAGACTTGAAATAAAGAGACTTTAGAAGATGAACATCATCTTTGTCAAAAATCTTCCGTATTGCTGAGATACTGCTGCTTCCAAACAAATCCCGACATGCCTTTATCCTTGATATTGCAATGGGTAGACTGAAATATTAAAGCATTTACTATAAAAAATGGAATGTATAGAAAATACTAACTTTCAATGTTTCCCTTCATCTAAACCAGGAAACAGTTTTGATATAATAACTTAATACCGGACTACAAAATTGTCAAAACACCCATTTTCATATATTTTATTTGACCTATGACCTAGGACAAGCATTTCCTTCTGTAAATGTGACCTTTGACCTGGTTCGAACACATGACAATGCTTCTCCTACTCAAGTAATATTAAAATCATATTAAAATACATGTAGAAGATCCAGATAAGGTCTGGACATCTCATTATCTCTAGTAACCTTCACCATGCATATATATTGACCTAGATAATGCTGGCTTTATGAGAACATTAGTTTTTATAACTGAAACTATTATCAACTAGAAGGGTTTTTGTCACAAAACTATGTACGGTCACTCATGTGAAGTTTCATTGAAATCCCACAAGTAGCTAGACCTGTGAAAGCCAGACAAGATTTTTCTATTTATAGCTCTGAAGGCCATTTTGTGCAGCAAAGGAGAACATGCCGGTACCGTGCACAACTTGGGATGATACTGATCACTCCTGTTAAGTTTGGTTGCAATCTCACCATTAGTTTGACCTGTGGCAGGACAAGATTTTTCTATTTTTAGCTCTGGCAGCCAATTTGTGCAGCGAAGCAGAACCTGACAGAAAAATGCACAACTAGGGATTGTACTGATCACTCCTGTAAAGTTGGTTGAAATCCACCAGTAGTTTGACCTGTGAGGGGTGGACAAGCTTAATGCGGACGGACGGACAACGGACAGACGACCAGACAGATGTGCCACTTAAATGGACTAAGGGGCCATTTTTTTTGTTATTTTCTTTTGTTTAATAGAGGGCCATGGCCCCATATTCTATTGTTACAGAATGAACTTGTTCTGTTTACAGTTAGATGGCCTCCTATTTCTCTTAAATAGCACCAACGGACAGACGACGAAGGCAAAAACATATGTCTCCCAATAAGTTTGGGAGACATAAATACCATGATACATATCAATCAACAAGTCACTCTGACACTCTTTATATTATATAATAACTCTGTAGCTTTTAATATAGGGTTTAGGCACGTTTTTCCGTGTTATAACGTCTGCAGAGTCCCTAGGAACGGTTGGTGCCCGAGCCCGGGAGGGCGAGGGCTCCAACAGTTCCGAGGGACTCTGCAGAGTTTATAACACGAAATAAACGTGCGTTGACGCTATTACAGCATAAAATGTTAAAAAAGATTCATGATGTATATTTAATACAAAACACAATACGTAAAATCCAATGTGCTTGGACGGTATTTTTCCAATTCTACATGTTTTACGTATGCGTTTTATTTTTCCGGGGCGAACAACTTGGGAAATACAAATGCTCAAACCGTTCGAAAATTCGAATTTTAATTGATTTAACAAAGCTTAACATTGGAGATTTATTAACTCAAGAAAAAAAACATTAAATTACTCTTCCCAAGACATAACATGACCCTCAGAAATTCCTAGAATGATTTCAGATTAACGGTAGAAAAAAGATCAGTGACATCAGAATCGTTCTTTTTTTTTCAAGTACACAAGTTTATAAAAGAATATAAAAGAATATCAGGCACTAAACATTATTCTCTCAAAGAAATATAAAGAGCATTTATCAATATAAACATCAATAAAACATTTTCTCATATTCATTTTGTGTTATCTTGTTTTGTAAGTTAGTGGGAGGGGTTAATCTGAATGACAAATATTTGTTTACATTGACAACTGTCCGTTTCTTAGAAAGGGCGACAACCAACTGATTAGCTGCAATGTCTATACGCCATATTTCCGGCATATTAACTTGAATTTTTATGCTGCTCGCCGTTATATGCGATTGAGGCCCTGGAATATAACAAGTGCGCAAACAGGCAATATCGTTATTTCTTTTTTGTTTACTGGGCCCTGTATGTATTGCGCATAGGTAAAACCGGGCTATTATAAGAGCGCGTGACTATGTTAATGCATGGTTTTGGTCCTGTTATAACATGGGCAAAAGAGGGAAAAATAGCCGATTTTATGCTATAATGTTGGATGAACACCTCAGCTTCCTGTCAGTGCATTATTCAGGGACCTAGGTAAAACCATTAACCTTCCAAAAGCTATATAGATAAACTCCTCACACATAAAAGTTGCATGTTTGTGTTGTCAAGTGGTTTGTAGACAGTTAAAGCTATGATTGGAACACGATGACGTTTACATTATATTGTACGGTCACATGAGATAATGGGCTGTGCAAGTTATTCATTTAATATATTTTGCATTTTTATTGCAAAATAGAAGAATAAAAGTGAATATGTATAAATGTATACATTCATTCGAGTAGCATAGTGGTAAGAGACTTCAGGTTATGAAGCGCTCTGGGTTACTAACTTCGGGTTCAAATCTTTAATTGTGCACACTTTTATCAAGTGTGGGTTTAACTTTCAGAATATATTTGTATGAATCCATTCTCTTCCATTGCTATCTATTCAGTCATTTATTTACCCTAATTATCGAGTAGGTTGACTTCACCTCAGTCTGTCGAATGTGAATCTGTGTAAAACTGTATAGCTTTGTGTGTACTAGTATATTAAATTCACAAGGAACTGAAATCCTGTTAGTTGAAAATTATCTAAAGACAAAAGTTTAAAAGGAAATACAAGAAATGCCTTTTCCAGGATTTGAACCAGGGTCTCTACACACATGGAGTGAACACTCTACCACTTAGCTATTATGCTGAACAGCTGAAAAGTTAGTAATCCCAGGATATTTCGATCAAAACAGTAGCCACTAGAGTATTAACAAGATTTTTCTATTTTTAGCTCCTGTGACTTAGTTTTTCATTCGAGATGACCCCTCTTCGAACTCATCCAAGCAACTATCTAGACAAGCATCCTGACCAAGTTTGATGACAATTTAGTAAAAATATGACCACTAGATGTTAACAAGTTTTTCTATTCATTATATGCCCAAAAGTTCCATTTGGCCCACATTGTTCAAACTTCACAGGATGATTGTCCATATTGGGTAGAAAACCCCTATTGATTTTTGGGTCACAAGGTCAAAGGTCACTATTATCCAACACTGAAAACAGTTTCCGGAGCATAACTTAAGTTCCATTTGGCCCACAGTGTTCAAACTGCATAAGATGATTGTCCATATTAGGTTGAACACCCCTATAGATTTCTGGGTCACAAGATCAAAGGTCAAGGTCACCTTTACCTTAAAACTGAAAACAGTTTCCAGATCACAACTTAAGTCCATTTGGCCCACAATATTCAAACTTCATAGGAGGATTGCTATTTGAAGGAGGTAACACTTTATTTAATTCCCATGTCTTACAAATGCTTCATCCTTACTCTTGTAGTTCCTGTCACCTAGTTTATCATCCGAGATGACCCATGTTCGAACTCACCCGAGCAATTTTCTAGACAAGCATCCTGACGAAGTTTGATGATGACTGAGGCAAAAATGTGACCGCTTGAGTGTTTACAAACAAATGTGGACAGACAATGGACATTTGATGATCCTAAAAGCTTTCCCTGAGCTAAAAATCAATGACCCATGGGGCGGGGCTAATTTTGATCCTAGGGCTTTTATTTGAACAAACTTGGTAAGACATCTACTAGAAAATGTGTGTAAATATCAAAGATTGACAGATTCTTTTGAAGGGCTGGCTTGTCACTTGTTAGAGGTCATCTCATGTGTAGATTTCATGTGTGTTGTTAAACAATGGCAACATGATGTTATGTTTATTTGTGGATGCTATTTTGTTTTCACATATGTGAGCAAATGTTCTTGCACTGTGAAATTTTGACAATCGGCGATGAATTTCATTTCATTTTCCTAGAAAGTAGCATGTAAATGCTTACAAAGTATCTTACCTTCCAGACCTTAAAATGTGAACACATTTTTTTCCCTTCCCTTTTTTTTTTTGGAAAAAAAAAATCAGTAAAACAAAAGATCAAAGAATTGCCTGATTGATTCAAAATAAAAGTATTCTTACTTGATAAAAAATGTTTGGTATTCACTACATTACATTATAAGCTGTATTAAACTTTGAAATACAGTTACTATCTTTTCAATTAACCCTTTCCCCCATGAGCATATTGTGAAAAATGGCCATTTTCACTGAAAAGCCTCCTCTTACAAGTTTAAACTGCTATGAAACTATGAAAAATGCTTCAATACTAATCAAACTTGGCACAAATGTTAAATGGACCATTGCCTTTGTAACGACATGCTCAGTCTTAAATTTCCTGTTACCATGGCAACGAGGGGACATCTCAAAATTGCCAAAAATCACTATTTTGCCTCGATTTTTTCCATCAAAATTTATTTCAAAGTGCTGCAACTTCTCAAGGGATTGAGATAGAGTCAAAGGCTTTTCAGCGTTGGTTACACGTTACCTTATGATCGACCTGGGGTCATTTTAGGCCTCTCACAAGTCCAAAATTTTCTTGGCGATGAGGGGGACTCCGCCCCCCCTTCAAAATCCCCCAAACAGAAGGGGGCACATCACCCTTCTGGCAACCCCCTGAAGTATCTTTTGGATGGGGGGCGGCGCCGAAAAAGTGCTCACTTTTTTTAGCAACATTTCTCAAACGAAAACATGTGTTTGGGGCCCAAATAGGACATTTTTTCACTATTTCAGGCCTAAAAAAAGGGGAGGGGGGTCAAAAGTGCGTTGTTTCGCGTAAGATTTCGGTTAAGCATTAGCTATTTCTGAAAATATAAAAAACATTTATAATTTCAAATCATAATAATAATCATGGTGTGAATCATAATGTGCTTAGATCATTTCATGAATATCCCTGCAAGGCAAACAGCAGTCTCCCTAGAGGTCATGACCTCAAATCATTTCATAAGATTCTCTGAAATGCACACATCTATCTTGCTAGAGGTTATGATTTTCATGACTTGTGGTTTTTAAGGAGAAGATTTTTAAAGGTAACTATATAACCACATGCACACATGCATGCACACACATATACATTGAGGTGGCATAGAAATATCTCTCCTATACTCAGGGGTGAAAAATGACTTATGATAACTGTAAACTCCTTACTTATTCTCCTGCAATTGATCCATAACATCTTGAAGAGCTTTCTGTAAGTGATCCCCACTGTCACTATCCATACCTATAAGGTATAATTTATATCTTTAATCATAAAAATCTTGTTAAAACAGGATAAAACTTAAGAACTTGCATAGAAAGCTTACATGAGATCCATTACAAGCAGTGGTCAAGAATTCTCCAATACAGTAAGGTCAATACTTCACATTCAAAGCCATCCAAGGTTACATTTTGATACTCAGTAGTGTTCAAGTGAATCAAGTCTAAATATTAAAGTAAACAAGAGTTACTAATGTCCCCGACCTCAGGGAAGTTTTATATCAAGCATAAAATTGTGCTATTTCAAAAGATTGAGGTATGGATCTCAGGACTGTCAGTCCAAAATTATGATCAATGCTAGATCTGCAAATGCATAATAAATTTATTAAAGAAATAAAATGAAACACAGAATTTAAACAAGAATTTTCAAAATCCCTAGTTATGGACGGGACACAAAATATACCATATAAAAAGACTCTGTTAACCTTTGACCTCTAAGTGTTACCTTGACCTTGGAAGTAGAGGTGCAGGTGTTGTACTTGACATATCGTCTTATTATTGTGACTATTTGTGCCAAGTTATTTTAAAAACCCTTGAACTATGAAGAAGTTCTAGATCGGACACAAAATATACACTATAACCATGTAAATTTTTTACCTCTAGGTGTGACCTTGATCTTGGAGGTAGGGATGCAGGTATTGCCCATGACACATCGTCTTATTATAGTGACTATTTGTGCCAAGTATTTTCAAAATCCTTTGATCTTTGAAAAAGTTATGGACCGGACACAAAATATACCCTATAACAGACTATGTTAATCTTTGACCTCCAAGTGTGACCTTGACCTTGGAGGTAGGTGACCTGTTGTTGCGCATGACACATCATTTTATTATTGTGAACATTTGTGGAAAGTATTTACAAAATCCCTTCAAAGATAAGAAAGTTATGGACCTGACGTGACATATACCCTCAAATAGACAATGTTGACCTTGAATGAGCAAGTGCGACCTTGACCCTGGAGGTAGGGGTCTGGTTGTTGCGCATGACAATGGACTTATTATAACAAACATTTGCTGTAAGTTATTTCAAATTCCTTTGATAAAGTTATGGACCAGACACAAAGTGTGATGGATGGACAGACAGACAAACGGAGCCTATTTCTATATCCCCCTTTTTTCTTCGAAAAGGCGGGGGACAATAAATTCATACATTCTAATCTCCCTTTGTAATATATAGTTTATATAAGGATTGACCTTGACCAGAGGTAGTTCAATACTACGCTCTGCACATAACCTCAGTAAAATAAATATTTCTGTAATATTTCCTACAATCAGTTTAAAAGAAGCAGAGCAGACACAACATTTTGATATTGATACAAAATGACTAAGTGTGACCTTGACCTGCACATCGTCTCATTATGGTTAACATTTCTCTCAAATAGTTTCAATTTCCTTCTACCGGTTCAAAAGATACAGACCAGACACAAAACTCCTATATAAGTCAATATATATAAATCAATTAATTAAATTTAATCTTAGGTCGTCCAAACTTGTGTTCTACACATCGTCTCAATATAAGTAATATTTCTGCCAAAATTTTCTAATTTATTTCATACCGGTTCAAAAGATGCAAAGCAGACACAAAATCTTGATACCGATACAAAATGACTTAGTGTGACCTTGACCCGAGAAAGGTCAAACCTGCGCTCTGCACATCATCTCATTATTATTAACATTTCTGCCAAGTAGTTTCAATTTCCTTTCACCAGTTCAAAAGATACAGATCGTACACAAAAACCTGCTAACAGATGGACAGATGGACAACCAGGTGCATAACAATGAAAGCAGAAATTTTTTCGTTTGCATATAAAAATATAATAAACGTTTTTCTTATCACTTCTTTTGTTTTATTATCATTTATACTTTTAAGTGACAGTAAGGTAGAAAGTAGAACAGCCCAATACCAGAATCCGTAGCAGAAATAATCTCCATTTGAAAAAAATTATGTTAGCAATCTCCCCTATTTTGTTTTGTTAGAATCAAATAGTTTCTGTCTGAGCAGTGTTTTCATTGCCTATTTAACATCAGTTTATCATTTCTGATGCAAGAAAATTAATGACTTTGGCATACAACCTTTGTGGTGAATTTCTATGCATCAATACTCCAAACTCAGTGTTCAATTTTTGTTTTGTTTGTTTGTTTCATTTTACGCCTTTTCCCAACAGTATTTCAGTCATATAGGCGCAGTGTTCAATAGGCAACAAACATCACTCAAACCATTATAGTTTTTTTAAATTAAATTTGTACAAATTTTTCTACTAACTATAACAGGAAAGTATTATTCTTGCATATCAGACTGGTGTTTCTATTAGTTTTACCCATGCTGGAAATTTCACCTGGAATGGGGGGTGCCAGATGAGTCGCGTGCTGTATAATGGTATGCTTAGGAAGATTAAATTTCGCCGTTATGAATGAAGTTTTAATTTCATACTCTGTTGTAAGAAAATAGTTTCGGGTGTAATGACATAAATTTCCATGGAAAATTGTTATATTAAGGTAAAGAATTTAAAATATGATGGACTATGGTAGAATATGCAAGAAAAAATATCTAACATATGTTGCGGCTAGGATTTGGGATTGGAATATCCGTCCCTCGGAGCCCCAGGGCAGGTTCCCAAGGGAACAGATATTCCGATCTGAACCACAACATATGACAGATACTATTAAGCCTTGTGCTAGACTATGAACAGTATACCTCCACTCCTATGATCTGTTGTAGGTGCAGTTCCACTCTCTATTATTTCTTTAATGTCAAACTCAATTGCTATCCATATATTCTGCATGTCTTCATTCTCCATAAAAGTCACCAATGCATTTTCTAGCTCACCTATAAAATGATTTATAGTGACAATCTTTATCCTGACAATAAGCATTAATTGTAAATTTAATACAATGAAATAGTTTCTGGTATGAAAATAACAAAAGAAGGCAGCCAACACTACATACAGGCTGTCCATCAGCATGTTAGGAGAGATAAAAGAAAACATGGAATAATCTTTTGAATTTCCTAGAAAAAATCTTGAATAAAATAGAAATATTTGAGTACAAAATTATGATATGTAACAAGTTTGATACCAGTTTAAAAGTAATTAATGACTGTGAAAACAAAGAATGCATTTAAAATGTGATCCATATCAGGTCAATATTTTGTACTATCACGATAAAACTAGGAATAAAAGAAAATACTAGGTGCACTTTAATTAGCAAAACGTAAAAAAAATCTAGACGTAATAGTGGAGATCCTGTTACATATAGGTATGACATAGTTATATAGGGATGACATAGTTATATAGGGATGACATAGTTATATAGGGATGATATATAGGGGTGGCATAGTTATATAGGTATGATATATAGGGGTGGTATAGTTATATAGATCCCAGGGCTATTATTTGAACAAACTTGGAAGACACCCATTTGAAGATTTTTCTTGCTTAATATCCTAAGCTCTAACTCTTTGAGTTTTTTAAAAGAAGATTTTTTTTAAAGTTTTTAGTATATACACAGGAAAATCAATAATCCCCTGGGTGGGGCTTTTATGTAGACATCCACTAGAAGATGTTTCATTCTAAAAATCTAAGCTCTAGCTTTTTGGCTTTTTTAAAAGAGGATTTTTTTTAACAATATACACATACGAGGGGTTATCCAAAAATTTGTGGACTTTCTTTGTTGCGTAAAATATATTTGAGATATTAATTTGAAATTCTTACACTGCTTAGAAGAATTAATAACAAATAAACACAAAAAAATTCATGTGAGTAGCTTTTTACATTCCAACAATATTTAATTTAACATAAACACATGTCGGCGACAGCGGCGCACTCCAAAAAATATTGACGTCAACGTCATAATATGAACGTACAACTTGTGCTTCACCTTTACGCAGTCAATGACGGTTACTGCTTCTCAAAGTAATGTCCATAACTAAATTTCTTATGCTACTTTAACACTTATGATCGTGAAATTTTCTTTTCTCTGTTTGTCTGCTGATTCTTATCAAATGTTTTTGTAGGTGTCATCCCCAAATTACAACCAAAACTTATGATCGTTACATGATCGCCAATTTTCTAATTACCGCATGTATGCATTTTCCCGTTGTAAACAATAAAGGCGTTTCTATCGATATCAACAAAAATAAATGTAAATGACGTCCAATATTTTAAAGAATTACTTAAATGTCATCATAGAAGAAACATGTTCAGCGGGTTTTCTATGTTATTTTTTAGTTATTTTAGCAAGAAATATATGATGACTTACTGCGTTATTCTACCGTGCGCCGGGTGCCGTGTATGTGCTTATTTAAAAGCAATATAAAATCATTATTTATGTACACAATTGACTGTTCCTTTCAAAATGTGTTGATAATATTCTACAATGTATGCTGATAAAATTTCATTACAATACACGTTGACGTTCAAGAGATATTTAAAAAGTCCAAGAAATTTTTGAATAACCCCGTGAACATGTATAAGGAAAATCACTGACCAGCCAATTTTGACCCCAGGGCTTTTATTTGAACAATATAAGTAGAGACCCATCAGAAGTTTTTTTATGCTTAATATCTAAGCTCTAGCTCTTGATGGACAGACACCAGATGAATTGTGATCACATAAGTTCACCTTGTCACTTTGTGACAGGTGAGCTAAAAACTTTTAAGGCATGCACTTACCATTAAGTCTTTCTGCTATTTGAGATTCCAGTCCAGAAGAACTAGAATTATAGCTTGATCCTGCACCTCCTGTCACATATAGACCACTCTCTAAGTAAAAACAATAAAATGAAAATGCACTTCTTAAAAAAATAGATATTAACTTTGAGATCTCTGTGTAAAGTGTTGCACATTGCAAGTTCAGATGTACAATTAAAATTATAACAGCCATGAACCAGAGTGGTAAATTGTAAACAATTTATAATAATAATAATAATAATAATAATAATAATAATAATAATAATACTAATAATAATGATAATAATAATAATAATAATATTAATAATAATGATAATAACGACTTTATTTAAAAGAGTCAACACAGTTATACAATCCCAGTCTTGCCAAATTGAGCCTCTATCATAATATACATATTATATACAGTTACAATGAATTTACAAACAACAAAATATTAACAGATATTATAAAACATATAAAAACAAAAGAAGAAAAAGAAGTAAACAGTTTGCAACATGACATTAAATTTATCAGCAATATGTGTGATTTAAAATTACAACTTATCTTGAAGCATTTGATTCCAACCAGAGGACAACCTTTTTAAATAATTATTTTTGATTGTTTTTAAGTTGGTGGAATTTCTAATATTTAAAGGTAGGGAGTTCCAAACTTTTGAGCCTGAATACGAAAAAGATTTTCTGCAGAACTCAAGTCTAGGTTTTGGGACTGAAAGTAGTCTTTGATCATAGGATCTTAGTTGTATAATTTCTGTATTTGTAAGAAGATTTTGTATACTATCAGGGAGAAGATTGTTAATGGATTTGTATACTAAAATGACCTTTTTATAATTAACTTTTTCAGAGAATTTTACCCAGTTAAACTCTAAAAATAACTCATCAGTGGGTGTATCATAGTCTTTGTCCAATATTGTTCTTGCTGCACGTTTTTGAAATATATACATGTCATTTAAAAGTTCCTTACTGCAATTTGCCCAAATAGTGCAACAATAGTCTAAATGAGGAAGAATGTATGCATTAAAGAACATTTTCCTAACTTGAAGATTTAGAAATTGTTTTATTCTCATTAGTAGATATAATAGTGAATTGCATTTATTCAGTGTCATTTTTGGACATGTGTTTTCCAGTTCAGTGTATTATCAATGTGGACTCCTAAAAGTTTTTCCGTTTTTGAGAATTGTATGTTTTCATTTTGCAAAGTGTGTTGAGATATACCTGAGCAATGTTGTGTGATAATACAAGATAAAATATTATTTTCTTTCTTAGTATAATATCACATCTCATAGGGAAAGGATCTAGACAGCCGACATGTTAATATTTTTGTGCAGCAATGGGTTGTTGTAATTCAATGTTGCCCATCAGTAAAGCACCTTAGTATTTTAATGTTAGTAGGACTTCTACACTAAGTTAATTACAAAGCTTTACAAAGTAAGCCAATATTGAAAAAGAATCTCTGTAAATGACACTGAGTTTATACCAACAAAATATAATTGTTTTCATTTTACTTCATTCTTTTCCAGTTTTTCGGCTAGCAATTTATTGTTAGACTATAGTAATCATTTTTGCAAGATGGAAGAAACCTAAGCTACATGTATTTCACATTTGCAAATAGTTCTACTTGGCCTAATTTTACAATACTACTATGCATTAACTGCTTATCCAGCTGAAATTTGAAAGGATGGCTATCACATTTTATTAGTATTATAGTGTCACATTCTGCATCTCAGGCTTTCAAAGACAAGGACTTTCAACATAAATTGTTTGTCTTTATATAAATGCATTCTTATTTATTTATTAAAATCTATTTAAAAGAAGAATTTGTGAAAGTATTTAAATATTAAACAAGAGGGCCATGATGGACCTTATATTGCTCGCCTGATTATTGAGGTTCTGAATTAATATTGTTAGCAATGAATGAAAGGCAGACAATATGCATAAACTTAAACTGATATCATAAAATTCATATCTGCCCCTGAAATTAAATTATGTTAATAAGGTTTTTCCATTATACCTTTTATGTGCTATGACCTTTTGTTGACCTCAGATGATCCATATTCAAACCTGAACTGGAAATCATTGAAACAACCTTTCTGACCAATGTTCAGGATATTTGGGCTAAAAATGTAACCCCAACAAAGTTTTTCCATTCTTTAGTCTGTGTGAACTAGATTTTGACCATGGATGACCCATGTTCAAAGCTGAGCTAGAAATCATCAAAACAAACTTTCTGACAAATTTTCAGGATATTTGGGATGAAAATATTACCTCTAGCATGTAAACAATATTTTTCCATAATTAGGGTTATGTGACCTAGTGTTTGACCACAGATGAACTATATTTGAACTCATACAAACAACCTTTCTGACCAATCTAGGATATTTGGACCAAAACAGTATTCTATAAAGTGTTAATGAGGTTTTTCAATATTTGGGCTTTATGACCTACTTTTTACCCAAGATGACCAATATTAGATATTGAGCAAAAGTCATCTTAACAACCATTTCTAACCAATTTCCAGGATATTTCGATTAAAACAGTAGCCTTTAAAGTGTTAACGCTATTTTTGCACATTTGGGCTGTGTGACCTAGTTTTCAACCCCATATTTGAAACCGGTTGCTCTCATGCACAAAAAACAAGTAATATTGTAAACTACTAACAAAAGCAGATATAAAATAAATGTAAATATTTAACTGATATCACAAATTCATATTTGTATCTCAAAAAGTGCATCATACATGTGAACTCTCCCTATTTAGGCGGGAGACTCCCTCTTTTAGCTGTCAGATATTTGAATATTTTTCTCAAAATAAGGGGTATTTTGGCAAAATGGAAAATTCTCCCTCTTTTTGATAGTTAAATTCCCTTCTTTGTTCATATGAATTTATAAAATCTCCCTGTTTTTGAAGTAAATTCTCCCACATGGCTCTTAAAAGAAGTTCACATGTATGGTGCATGTGTAAAAACATTAGTGGTTGCTATTGCTAAGGGAAAACATTAGAGTTTCAAAAGATGTGTACATATGACCACCTGTGGCTTGGCCAGTTTTTACCCCAGGGCTTTTATTTGAACAGACTTGGTAGACACTCACTAGTTCATGCTAAATATCTAAGCTCTTTGGGTTTTTAAAAAAAAATTTTTTTTTAAGTTTTTACTATATACATATTATAAGGACAATTAAATAAACCCCTTGGGTGGGGCCAATTTGAACCCTAGGGCTTTTATTTGAACAAACTTGGTAAACACTCACTAGAAAATGTTTCATGCTTAATATCTAAGCTCTAGCTTTTTGTTTTTTTTTAAAGAAGAGTTTTTAAGTTTTTTTCTATACTCATATAAGAAAAATTAATGACCCCTGGGGCCACCCAAATTTTGACCCAAGGGCTTTTATTTGAACAAAAAAGGAAATACTTATTATAAAATGTTTCATGCCAAACATCTCAGCTCTAGCTCTTTTTTAAAAAAAAGATTTGTTTTTGAAAATCAATGACCCCCTGGGGCGGGGCCAATTTTGACCCCAGGGCTTTTATTTGAACAAACTTGGTAGACACTTACTAGAAGATGTTTCATATCAAATATCTAAGCTCTAGCTCTTTTGATTTTTAAAAGAAATTTTTAAAGTTTTTACTTAATATATATAAGGACTGGGACAGGGCCAATTTTGACCCAAGAGATTTTATTTGAACAAACTTAGTAGACACCACTAGAAGATGTTTCATGCTAAATATCTAAGCTCTAGCTTTTTGGAGTTTTTTTAAAAGAAGATTTTTAAGTTTTTTCTTTTGGTTGCCATGGCAAGCACAGTTCTGCATTGAATACAATTCTTTGAACAATTTGCAAAGGTGACCAACAAAGGAACATTCCTGTGAAGTTTGAATGAAATTGGCTCAGTGGTTTATGAGGAGTTGTCGTTTAAAGTAAAAGTTTACAGATGGACGGACAGACCCAGGACAAATTTAGATCAGAAAAACTAACCTTGTCACTTTGTGACAGATGAGCTTAAAATGGTGTACTATGGTCCAGTGATAAAGTGCCAGCCCAAAAATCAGCAAAAATGGCTTTTACACCCTTAGCAGATATATTGTGTTACATAATTTTAACATATAATACATAAAGTATTGACTGTGACTGTTCTTGCGTTTCATATACTCAAGTTTTATTTTGTGAACATTTATTTACTTTTTTAGAAGCAAATTATGAAACCACTATTTTATGATCATATTATTCTTACCTTGTGGTTTTCTGTTGGACCAATAAGAAGACTGTTTGGATGGTAAACTGAGCTTTGGCATTATTTCCAACATTAACTGTGGCTCTTTAATAAAAAATATGCTAAATTAAATAGTCTTCATACAATATAATTATCAAAATATTCACTGCATACCGGTAACTAAAAACAAGAACATGTTTAGTAAACACAAATGCCCCGGCTCAGATTCTTGTCAGAAATAAATTTTCAAAAAAATTTAACCCATTCACTCAGTTATTGATAGAAATAGTGCAAAAAAAATATTCAACACAGTTATATAGCTCCATCACATTACACAGTTCTACATTCCTGGCATGAAAGTTCCCATGGTAAACTTCAATCCATTCATATTACATGATGACACTAGATCGCTCGCTATAAAAGGTCACAATCCTTCAATGCAGAAGTATATAATTAGATCACATTGGATCCAACTGCATGATTTAAACAAGAGCCACCACAAGGCGAGGTCAACGCTAGACTTTTTTACTTTTTCTAAAAGCAAACAAATAAACAGTTTAAACAAATCTTAAAAAAAGTTAAGTTTTCCTTTTTTAATTTTAATAGGTCTGTCTAGTCACACTAGTTTTGTCCAAGTAGGAATCATTTCCATAAATAAATGACAATAATCAAAATTCAATCATTTGACGGTCAAAGTCACTTTAAGGTCAAGGTCATATCTAAACTATGCTACATGTCTGTTTTAGTTACAAGTGTTGTTTTGTACACAGATGAATCAAATCCATACATAAATAACAAAATTATGAGAACTTAAGAAAAATTCAATACTTTGACCTTGACAAGCCTACGGTCAGTTCAACCTTTCAGACAATCTTGTCCAAAATGTTGTTTTGTCCAAGTATTAATATATTCCATTGATTAATTACAAAGGTATAGCCAATAATAGCAATAATCAGTGAAAATAAAATACTTTGACCTTCAGGGTCATATTATATGAGTCAAGGTCAATTTGAATTTGATATACATGAAGATCCTGACCTAAAAAATGTTGTGTCTTAATATGAAGATTTATAGCCAGTTACAGATGAAAAACAACAAGAGAAATTCATTAATTTGACCATCAAGGTCAATTTAAGGACAAGATCACATCTAAATTATTCAATTTATTTGTTTGGTAGTAAGTCTTAAAGACAATCCACTCAAAAGCCACATATAGCAAAAGACAAACTAAATTGGACATTAAAGGTAAAGGTCATTTATGGATGAAGGTCAATGTTAGTCTGGTCTACTGAAAGGTCTTGTCTCAAGGGTTGTTGTGGTTAAGTATGAAGACAATACACCAATACACCAAGAACTTAAAAAGTTATGATCAAGGTACAAGTTTGCGGACAGAAACGGCATGCCAACATCACTTTAACAATACCTCTATTTTTTTTCCAAAAAAAAAAAAGTCGAGCTCAAAATAGTTGTTTATGTAAGTCCACTAAGAAATGTTACAAATTGCAAAATATCTAGCTCTGGGCATTGCAGATTTCACAAGAAGATTTAAATATGTTTTCCTATACAAGTCTATATAAACCAAGTAACCCACAGACTCAGTTGGTGCCAATTTTGATCCAAGGGTCATGAATTAATAGATTTATGTAACTTTTGTATAGGCTACGTTCTAAATATGCTCTGGGCATTTTAGATTATATGACATGTTTACTATACATGTATATATAAGTCTATGTAAACTCTTCAGGTGGGCCCCACTTTGAGCCAAGAGGCATGATATAAACAACTTTGAGTATTGCAGTTTCACTTTTAGTCTACATAAACTGAGTGACCCCAGGGCGGAGCCAATTTTGACCCATAATTTATTTAACTTTTTTGAGCACCACAAAGATTATGCTTCAAGCTTTTTATCTAAACTTTTCAGAACTTTAATTTTTAAAGTCTATTTTAAGCTCTCATGACCTACTTTTACATCAGACTGGTACCATTTAATTTATAGGTGGTCATCTAAGGATCATGATTGCGAAGGTTTGTACAAATCCACTTAGTGGATAAGGAGGAGTATTTTTTTAAATAAATTGTTGATACCCAGGAATTACACACACCGGTGAGCTAATAAAAGCATGTACATTTATCAAAATTGAAATGAAGGAATAAAGTTGTTTTGCAGTGTTTCCATTTTACCTGTCATTATGTGCCTTTTCTTTGCTGTCAAGTTTTGCAACTGTTTCACTATCTCTGTATCTGCAACCTGAAATGTATCAAACATCTGATGAAAATCACCAATCAGTTAGTAATGATAACTATTCTTAATATTTTGTTTCTGGGTGTTGTATGCTTTAATTGTATTTTATTCAATATTTGTACAGATCAACAATGTGTTCTTCTATAGGTGGCATTAGAAGTAAAACACCGCATATTTGTTTAACTTCTCTGCAATATATTGACTATAATTTTACAAGGAACTCTCAAATTTCTTACTATGAACAAACACTGAATTTGCTTCTTTGTAGTTGATATTTACTTTATTGTTTAGCTGAAGTGCAATTTGGGTCTTTTTTCACCAATAGCATATTTTTGTATAGCTGGTATAAAATAAAATCAAGCAGAAAGTATCTCTTTAAAACAGTGAGTGTATAGATTTTATTTAAAGTGAATTGGTCTATAATGGAAGGCCTGTAATACAATAAATAATTATGTTGATAGCATTTTATATCATACATGAGAACAAACCATGAACGAATTAAATTATAATGTTTTTTAGTTAGATATATGATTTGATGAAACATATTCATACATAGCAGATAATTAATTGTTCTAGCACAAAACATTATTTTACATTAATTTTATCACACTAAATCAAACAATTTTTTCCCAAACAATATTTCATTAGAATATCTAAATGAAATATTTCTACTATTTTAATCAATATCTGAAATGTGCCCATGGTAGAACAATCCACTTTAAAATCAACATGAAAACAAGAAAATTGATTTTAAAACATTATTTTGAGTGTATCTCATTATTGATGCCAATGGAAGTTCTGCAGTTGCAAATTGCTTTTATTTTAGTTTAGATTTCAAGTCACACAAACATTGTAAAGGTTACTATCAAGGCAGAGGAAGAAGACTTCAAATATACTGTGAAATTTGGTAAGCTGATGCACAAAATATACAAATTACAAAGTTATCATATACATACATAACCAAATGACTGAGTCTTTGTTTGGAAGTAGACTATCTTTTCTGGTAAACTCCCTGGCTGCCGTTTCTGTGTAAGTTTAACACGCTCGATGGAATTTAAGCTCTCTTCTTCCCAAAACATAAGCTCGTGTACTGGTTTGTTAAGTTGTCCCCTGTACAAACACATACATTCTATATCAATGATCATCAAAAATTCCGACATTTCACCAGGGGACTCTTCAACAGCATGATCAATCTTTCCTTCTTCTGATGTATGAACAATCATCTTAGTCCTGCCCATAAATATTGGCTGATTAAATACCATGTTGACAACATCGCTAATTTTCCCTAGATCATCAGTGCATCCTTGATATTTTATAGTCAGTAAGTCCCTCATTGTATTGAAACATGTCCTGGCCTCTTCTGCTTCTGACTTCAGCTCAAAGAAAATGTTTGCCACATCTTTTGATACATTGTCCAAATAAGAAACTACAATGCAATCTTTTTCTGAGAGACCTTCAAATGACTGCCGGGAAACCCATCTTAAAGACTCGATTCCGATTTGCTTCTCAATGAAGTTACGAAATATCAGACCTTCCTTAAATAATATAGTCATTTCTCCATCCTGCTTTTCAACAGAATCTCCACAGAAGGTCCAGTATGAAATTTTGTAATCAGCAACTTCTGGATCTGAAGTAGCCATGACATTCAGGTATCTGTAGACAAAAAATTAATCAAATATGTAACGGTAAAATGTCTTGAGATAATATGAATAACAAGATTGCCATGATGACCCTGAATTGCTCACCTGATGAGATAAATTTCTAACAAGGGCAACATTGTCACAAAATACGCCTGTCACAAAAGCTTTTGTCAGAGATGTGGGCATTATAGATATGCATATAGGAGATATGCTTTGGGCAATATCCGGACAATATCTGGATATTTTATCATCTGAAATGACTTTGACCTCGCAAATATTAAAATAAATTACATGTGTCACACTTGTAGTCATGATAGTTATGATTTGTGTTTCAATCCATCAATAAATTATGACTAAATGGTCCTCGTACTTTGACCTCTCTATTTGACCTTGACTTTGGTAGCAGGCACCTGGATTATTTGCACAATACTTAGCTTCACAATGGTAGTCATGATAATGACCATTTGTGTATCTATCCCTCAATAAATGATGACTCAAAGGTCAGATACACATTTTCAAATTTTATCTGCACTTTAACCCCTATGTGTGACTTTGACCTTGGCCACAGGCACTTGAATTTTGCATGTGACACTCCGCCTTACAATTGTGAACATTTGTGCCAAGTTATATTGAGATCCCTTGATCCATGTAGAAGTTTTGCTCTGGAAAAAACGTTTTTCAATGACCTCTAAGTGTGACCTTTTACCTTTGACCTAGGGACCTTGTTAATGGGCATGGCACTGCTTTTCATAGTGGTGAACATTTCTATGAAGTTTCATTATAACCCCTCCATATGTGTAAGAGATATGCTCTGGACAAAATCTCATATTTTATTATCTTTAGTGACCTTTACCTTGCATATATTAACCTAAATTACATGTTTCACAACCGTAGTCATGATAATGTCATGACCATTTGTGTTTCAATCCCTCAATAAATGATGACTAAAAGGTCCAATTATTTTATCTGAACTTTGACCCCAAGGTGTGATCTTGACCTTGACCGCAGGAAACTAAATTTATCATGCGACACTCTGCCTTAAAATGGTGAACATTTGTGCCAAGTTATATTGAAATCCTTCCATGCATGTAGAAGTTTTGCTCCAGTCAAGCATTTTTTAATGACCTCTAAGTGTGACCTTGACCTTTGACTTAGAGACCTTGAATATATGCGCGACACTGCCTGTCATGGTGGTGAGCATTTCTATGAAGTTTCATTAAAATTCCTCAATGCGTGTAGAAGATATGCTCTACATCTCTGGAAATACATGTATCACCAATTTGTTACAGTGAAGTATATGGTAAGTTACACCTTTATAAAAGATAACAATAAGTATAATGCATTACACAACTTTCACACTTCTTTATGGATCCCTAATCTGGTCTTACTTGTTATCAACATAGCATCTTTAGACTATAAAGACTACAATCAATGTAATTTTGAAACTATTTTATAATTTGATAAAAAAAAAATACATATATATAAATATAAATTGTTGATTTATAGCTGAGAATTCAGTCACAATTCATATACATTATCCTATAAATAAACATTTTCCCAGGGAAATTTCATTATTTTTATGACAAAAAATCTTTTTTATAACAAATTATAAAAGTAATGAGTTTGCAAGTAACTCATAATTATATTTATCAAATTTACACAGATGCCAAAAAGACCCGGGTTTTGAGGTTGTAATGTCCAGGAGTTGAAAAGTCCTGAAATCCTCACAAAGGTGCCAGGCTTTCTCTTAATCTTTTACTGCATGATCATACTGGGATCCTATATATTACTGGACAAAATATGATGTTTTTTCGCTGTAACTTTTATTTAAAATAATAAAAAAGTATGAAATTTTACCCAAATAATTCTGGGTTCTTAATATACGTAAACATTCCTTTATCAAACATAAAATTAAACATTTGACCGTAGAAATGTGTCTTTAAGTAGGGCATTAAAAGTGTAGACAACGAAATTTACAGGACATTGTGTTTCAAAATTTTTTGAAGTCTTAAATTGAAATCAAGCAAGGAAACTACGACTATTGAATGGCAATGTTAAGATACTGGAATAAAACCCAGTATGTCACTAAAACAGACACTGCAGCCATGCTTGTTACGAAGAGGCCAATATAGGGGTGAAATTGAAATCAACACTATTAACTCAATTAACGTATTCATTCTTCATGATCCTTAAACGTATGACACATTTTGATATTCAAATGGAATTCTGTTCTTTGTCATACAGTTTCCTTTTGGTCATCATGTACCATGTTGCAAAAGCCATAGTCTCTTTTTTGTACATTCCATGTAGAGTTTCCTCCCATTGGCGTTACCCGTTTCCTTATATGTTTTTTAATTTGCATTTCTTTGTAAAAGACAACGAGATATTGTTTGTACGAAATTAAGAAATTACTTTTTATCATTAAAGTATGTTACGATTGTCTCCCGAGATAAGACTGAGAAGAATTAAAAGTAAAACCTATCTAAAATATCCCATTAAGGGCCTCAATATTCGGGCATGCGGAGAACAGATTATTCCCCCCGCATGACCAGCTCATGATATAACTAGTAAACAAATGGGTATGTTAGTAAATAAAGAACTGAATCAACAATATTGCCTGAGAGTGGTTTTGTTGTTATTTACTTTGAAATAGAAAGTGTGTGTACGATTCAAACCGGATGATTTTTGGATCAAAGCAAAAATAAAGCCTTATTTGACAGGAATAGATTTTGTCCGTTAAACTGATTGTCCGGTAAACATGAAGGATCCCAGTATTGTGAAAAATGGCCGTTTTCATTGAGCCTCCTGTTACAAGTTCAAACTGCTATGAAACTATAAAAAATGCTTCAATACTGATCAAACTTGGCACAAATGTTAACTGGAACATAGCCTTTGTAAAAGCATTTTCCTGTTACCATGGCAATGGGGGTCTTCTCAAAATTGCCAAAAATCACTATTTTGCATTAATTTTTTTCATCAAAACTGATTTCAAAGTGCTGCAACTTCTCAATGGATTGAGATAGAGTCATTAGGCTTTTCAGCACTGATTACACCTTACGTTATTAAAGATGGACCTTAAGCCATTTTTAGCCTCTCACAAGTCCAAAATTTTCTTGGCGATGAGGGGGCCTGCTGACCCCCTTCAACCCCCCAGGCACATCCCCCACTTGGCACCCCCTTGATGTACTTTTTATATTGGGGGGGGGGGGGGCGCCAAAAAAGTGATCACTGTTTTAACAACATTTCTTAAAACAAAAACAAGTTTTAAGTTCCAAAATAGGGCATTTTCACTATTTGAGGCCTCAAAATATCTTATACCAAACAAAAAGTGTTTAAGTAGTGCTAAGTACCAGTACGGGGGCTTTAAACGTTTCTCTCTTTTTTTTATTTAAAAATATTCAAAGCATTAAATAGTGTTAAAATATGAGGTAGTAAATGATCTCGACTTGAAAAAATATCACATTACGTTTTTATGTTAATGCCAGGTTAAGAGAACTTTATGTGAAATCATTAAAACTACCCAGATCTTTATTAAAATGATGAGAAAATAGAGATCTAATAACCTTTTAAGTGTTCTCGGCACAAGTCGAAAACAAAAGTAGGATATTTTTCCTTGCGTGTAGCAATTGTACAAATGGTGATAACCACCAATAAATACTACACTTAGGAATTACCAAGAAAACATTGTTAAAAATTGAAAACTCTTAGATTTAGAAACCAAAGGAATACTGGTGTCTTCACAATAAATATTCAGGAAAAAATATCACGATATTTTTTATGTTAAGTTTTTATGTTCATGCCAGGTTAAGAGAACTTTATGTGAAATCGTTAAATCTACCCATATCTTTATTAAAATGATGAGAAAATAGAGATCTAATAACCTTTTATGTGTTCTCGGCACAAGTCGAAAACGAAAGTAGGATATTTTTCCCATAGGAACTCTGGCACAGGACCGCATATTGCGGCGCATAAATCCGAATCCGTACCGGCTTTACACTTAGTTTGTCCGACCTTTGAATATCTTTTCATATTATGCGAGCGGGTGGTCTTTAATTATCTAATCTCAATTTAATATAATCTGCTAATTTAAAAATCAGTCAAATATACGGTATATTGAAAAAAGAAAAGGAGTGACATCCGCCATTTGCCGCAACGTGGCGTAAGTTATCCCCCTTGATATGCTTGATTTTTGTTTAAATTTTTCTAGTAATGAATACCAGATGAGTGCCTAAAATATTTATCTATGGATCGTGTTTTAATATTCCTTTTTTCAGTTAGGCAAAACCAGTTTGACCATATTACTAAAGTGTCTGTTTTCTCCATGTTAACAAATCAAAACGCGAATACACCCGATATAATGCCGCCTATACATGTCAACACGTGTAAACAATAAACCGTTAACGTTATATCCGGACGATACCTCATAGTTGACAAAAATAACGGGAACAAAATTCTGAAAAAATAGTAATCAATTGTAGCCAAAGGGGGAAAACTCATGCCGAAAACGTTGCGGCAAATGGCGGATGTCACTCCTTGTCTTTTTTTATAATACCGTAAAATTTGACCAGTTTTTAAAGAGACAGATTGGGTTCAATTGATAATATATTTTTTGAGTCCATACACTCGGACAATACTAAAAGATATTTAGATGTAGCAGAAACGTTTTTAAGAACCGTTACACGATCGAAAATATACGCCGCAATCTGCGGTCCCGTTCTCGAGTTCCTATGATTTTTCCTTCCGTGTAGCAATTGTACAAATGGTGATAAGCAATAAAGGGGAGTAATCATTTAATAAATGGATTGATTTCGGCGCCAGTCGAAAACGAAAGTAGGATGTTTTTCCTTGCGTGTAGCAATTGTACAAATGGCGATAAGCACCAATAAATACTTCACTTAGGAATTACCAAGAAAACATTGTTAAAAATTGAAAACTCTTAGATTTAGAAACCAAACGAATACTGGTGTCTTCACAATAAATATTCAGGAAAAAATATAACGATATTTTTTTATGTTAAGTTTTTATGTTAATGCCAGGTTAAGAGAACTTTATGTTAAATCGTTAAAACTACCCATATCTTTATTAAAATGATGAGGAAATAGAGATCTAATAACCTTTTAAGTGTTCTCGGCAGAAGTCGAAAACGAAAGTAGGATATTTTTCCTTCCGTGTGGCAATTGTACAAATGGTGATAAGCAATAAAGGGGAGTAATCATTTAATAAATGGATTGATTTCGGCGCCAGAAGATATTTTTCCTTGCGTGTAGCAATTGTACAAATGGCGATAAGCCCCAATAAATACTACACTTGGGAATTACCAAGAAAACATTGTTAAAAAATGAAAACTCTTAGATTTAGAAACCAAAGGAATACTGGTGTCTTCTCAATAAATATTCAGGAGAACGGAAAGATTCTAATCTATGATCATTTTCGTAATATAAATAGTGATGATGATTACGTTCTACTGAGTACGGGGGCTTTAAACTTTTCTTGATTTAACACATGGACTTCAAACATAGGAAAATAACCCCGTTATGGCCACAAGCAAACGTTGAATGTGAGCGATTCATGAAAATCATAGGCAAGTCAATACGAGCTTCTCATGTGCACCATACAAACTGGAAACAAGACATGTATGTATTTAAAAAAAAATACAGATCTACACCACATGGGACAACGGCTGGAACTCCTGCACAATTGTTCTACACATCAAAATCCCCATGGTCGAAAAACAAAAGAAATCTAAAAAGGATATTTATGCCAGAGAAAATGACAGGAAATCAAAACAAAAAAATGAAAGAATGCGATGATAAACGAAGTAACGCTCGAAAAACTGAAGTAAAAAAAGGCGACAGTAAAGTAGAACAAACAAAATATACTCACAACTCCTTACAACCCTAAACCGTATGAAGTAACCGAGGAAAAATGTCAATGATAAAGACAAACAAACAGAGACAGATAACAGAGATAGGCAACTTCCTAGCCAGTTAAAATGCTTAACTTAAAACTTGTAGCAAATAAAACTAAAAATAAAACTTGCTCAGTGGGTAAGTTCTGCTATGTTTTTTCTAAGTGAAAGGCATGGAAAGTTACTGATATTTTAACATGCAACAATAGATAACCTTTCAAATGGTATACAATATTAAAGGATCAAATGTACATCCATTAAATTTTATTTGCTACAAAATGCCTATTTTTTCACTTTTTGATAGACATGAGTGATATTTCAATGGAGCTGCTTATCTCTGTTATCTATGTCTCTGAAACAAATCATTAGAAATTCGTCACATTTTAAACGTGTCAGCAACTCTCAGACCAAAAGTCTAAATGGAAATGTTCCTTTGAATAACGAAGGGGAACACAGCAATACTGAACCAATTTATACCAAAATGAGCATGGAATCACAATCCGATGAAAAGTAACGCACGAAACTTTACCTACATCAAATGAGTGTACTTCTTTGCAAAGATCTGTAAGGCACAGAAAATCACCAGATTACTAGTATTTAGAAGATTATATATGTAAATAGTGTTAAAGAGTGGCACAATAATCCACTAAAATTTAGTTAAATGAGTGAAAACCACCTGCATATGTATGTATATTTTTGAGATTTTATGTGTAAACAATCCACTAAAAGTTAGCTAACAAGAGCTGTCACAGGAGACAGCGAAGCTCGACTAATAAAATACTGGACGCAGTAAGGAGGACAAAACTATGATAGAAAAATCAATTATGTATATTATGTATTAAGTTATAGTAAAATAATAACATTTGTTAACAAAAATTCCAAAATCAAGGGGAATAATTCTAGAAATAGTCATGCTAGAGTTATGAACCTTGTCACACAACATGTGTGTAATGATAAGAAATATATATTTGAAGTTTGAAGTAGATTCCTCTCATTCTTGATTTAACACATGGACTTCAAACATAGGAAAATAACCCCGTTATGGCCACAAGCAAACGTTGAATGTGAGCGATTCATGAAAATCATAGGCAAGTCAATACGAGCTTCTCATGTGCACCATACAAACTGGAAACAAGACATGTATGCATTAAAAAAAAAATACAGATCTACACCACATGGGACAACGGCTGGAACTCCTGCACAATTGTTCTACACATCAAAATCCCCATGGTCGAAAAACAAAAGAAATCTAAAAAGGATATTTATGCCAGAGAAAATGACAGGAAATCAAAACAAAAAATGAAAGAATGCGATGATAAACGAAGTAACGCTCGAAAAACTGAAGTAAAAAAAGGCGACAGTAAAGTAGAACAAACAAAATATACTCACAACTCCTTACAACCCTAAACCGTATGAAGTAACCGAGGAAAAATGTCAATGATAAAGACAAACAAACAGAGACAGATAACAGAGATAGGCAACTTCCTAGCCAGTTAAAATGCTTAACTTAAAACTTGTAGCAAATAAAACTAAAAATAAAACTTGCTCAGTGGGTAAGTTCTGCTATGTTTTTTCTAAGTAAAGGCATGGAAAGTTACTGATATTTTAACATGCAACAATAGATAACCTTTCAAATGGTATACAATATTAAAGGATCAAATGTACATCCATTAAATTTTATTTGCTACAAAATGCCTATTTTTTCACTTTTTGATAGACATGAGTGATATTTCAATGGAGCTGCTTATCTCTGTTATCTATGTCTCTGAAACAAATCATTAGAAATTCGTCACATTTTAAACGTGTCAGCAACTCTCAGACCAAAAGTCTAAATGGAAATGTTCCTTTGAATAACGAAGGGGAACACAGCAATACTGAACCAATTTATAACAAAATGAGCATGGAATCACAATCCGATGAGAAGTAACGCACGAAACTTTACCTACATCAAATGAGTGTACTTCTTTGCAAAGATCTGTAAGGCACAGAAAATCACCAGATTACTAGTATTTAGAAGATTATATATGTAAATAGTGTTAAAGAGTGGCACAATAATCCACTAAAATTTAGTTAAATGAGTGAAAACCACCTGCATATGTATGACTATTTTTGAGATTTTATGTGTAAACAATCCACTAAAAGTTAGGTAACAAGAGCTGTCACAGGAGACAGCGAAGCTCGACTAATAAAATACTGGACGCAGTAAGGAGGACAAAACTATGATAGAAAAATCAATTATGTATATTATGTATTAAGTTATAGTAAAAAAATAACATTTGTTAACAAAAATTCCAAAATCAAGGGGAATAATTCTAGAAATAGTCATGCTAGAGTTATGAACCTTGTCACACAACATGTGTGTAATGATAAGAAATATATATTTGAAGTTTGAAGTAGATACCTTAAAAAGTAAAGAAGTTATAATATTTCTTAAAGAAAATCCTAAGTTCAAAGAGAGATAAATCTGTAAATATTGCTTCAAGAGTTATGAATATTGTCACATAAAATACAATTGATGATAAGGAATAAGTATTTGAAGTTTGAGGTAGATACCTTTAAAACTCAAAAAGTTATAGTAAAAAAATAACATTTTTCTAGTAAAAAAATCTAAGTTTATGGGGAGATAATTCTTGCAATATTGGTGCTAGAGTTATAAACCTTGTCACATAAGATGTGGATGATGATAAGGTACATATATTTGAAGTATGAAAGTGATCCCTTTAGAAATTAATAAGTAACAGTAAAACATTATATTTTTTAAGGAAAATTCTAAGTTCAAGGGGAGATAAATCTGA